GTCAGTAGGTCCTATGGAATACAGAATATGGCATGTTAATGATTTGTGTAAAGCATGTACAAATAAGGCATGACGAATATGTTGCATATTGTCAATATACAAAGCAGTTCAGAGTCAGTAGGTCCTATGGAATACAGAATATGGTATGTTAATATGTTGTGTTAAGCATGTACAAATAAGGCATGACGAATATGTTGCATATTGTCAATATACAAAGCAGTTCAGAGTCAGTAGGTCCTATGGAATACAGAATATGGTATGTTAATATGTTGTGTTAAGCATGTACAAATAAGGCATGACGAATATGTTGCATATTGTCAATATACAAAACAGTTCAGAGTCAGTAGGTCCTATGGAATACAGAATATGGCATGTTAATGAGTTGTGTTAAGCATGTACAAATAAGGCATGACGAATATGTTGCATACTGTCAATATACAAAGCAGTTCAGAGTCAGTAGGTCCTATGGAATACAGAATATGGTATGTTAATGAGTTGTGTTAAGCATGTACAAATAAGGCATGACAAATATGTTGCATATTGTCAATATACAAAGCAGTTCAGAGTCAGTAGGTCCTATGGAAAACAGAATATGGTATGTTAATATGTTGTGTTAAGCATGTACAAATAAGGCATGACAAATATGTTGCATATTGTCAATATACAAAGCAGTTCAGAGTCAGTAGGTCCTATGGAATACAGAATATGGCATGTTAATATGTTGCGTAAAGCATGTACAAATATGGCATGACGAATATGTTGCATATTGTCAATATACAAGGCAGTTCAGAGTCAGTAGGTCCTATGGAATACAGAATATGGCATGTTAATGATTTGTGTTAAGCATGTACAAATAAGGCATGACGAATATGTTGCATATTGTCAATATACAAAGCAGTTCAGAGTCAGTAGGTCCTATGGAATACAGAATATGGTATGTTAATATGTTGTGTTAAGCATGTACAAATAAGGCATGACGAATATGTTGCATATTGTCAATATACAAAGCAGTTCAGAGTCAGTAGGTCCTATGGAATACAGAATATGGCATGTTAATATGTTGTGTTAAGCATGTACAAATAAGGCATGATGAATATGTTGCATATTGTCAATATACAAAGCAGTTCAGAGTCAGTAGGTCCTATGGAAAACAGAATATGGTATGTTAATGATTTGTGTTAAGCATGTACAAATAAGGCATGACGAATATGTTGCATACTGTCAATATACAAAGCAGTTCAGAGTCAGTAGGTCCTATGGAATACAGAATATGGCATGTTAATATGTTGTGTTAAGCATGTACAAATAAGGCATGACGAATATGTTGCATATTGTCAATATACAAAGCAGTTCAGAGTCAGTAGGTCCTATGGAATACAGAATATGGTATGTTAATATGTTGTGTTAAGCATGTACAAATAAGGCATGACGAATATGTTGCATATTGTCAATATACAAGGCAGTTCAGAGTCAGTAGGTCCTATGGAATACAGAATATGGTATGTTAATATGTTGTGTTAAGCATGTACAAATAAGGCATGACGAATATGTTGCATATTGTCAATATACAAAGCAGTTCAGAGTCAGTAGGTCCTATGGAATACAGAATATGGCATGTTAATATGTTGCGTAAAGCATGTACAAATAAGGCATGACGAATATGTTGCATATTGTCAATATACAAGGCAGTTCAGAGTCAGTAGGTCCTATGGAATACAGAATATGGCATGTTAATATGTTGTGTTAAGCATGTACAAATAAGGCATGACGAATATGTTGCATATTGTCAATATACAAAGCAGTTCAGAGTCAGTAGGTCCTATGGAATACAGAATATGGCATGTTAATGATTTGTGTAAAGCATGTACAAATAAGGCATGACGAATATGTTGCATATTGTCAATATACAAAGCAGTTCAGAGTCAGTAGGTCCTATGGAAAACAGAATATGGTATGTTAATATGTTGTGTTAAGCATGTACAAATAAGGCATGACGAATATGTTGCATACTGTCAATATACAAAGCAGTTCAGAGTCAGTAGGTCCTATGGAATACAGAATATGGTATGTTAATATGTTGTGTTAAGCATGTACAAATAAGGCATGACGAATATGTTGCATATTGTCAATATACAAAGCAGTTCAGAGTCAGTAGGTCCTATGGAATACAGAATATGGTATGTTAATATGTTGTGTTAAGCATGTACAAATAAGGCATGACGAATATGTTGCATATTGTCAATATACAAAGCAGTTCAGAGTCAGTAGGTCCTATGGAAAACAGAATATGGTATGTTAATATGTTGTGTTAAGCATGTACAAATAAGGCATGACGAATATGTTGCATATTGTCAATATACAAAGCAGTTCAGAGTCAGTAGGTCCTATGGAATACAGAATATGGTATGTTAATATGTTGTGTTAAGCATGTACAAATAAGGCATGACGAATATGTTGCATATTGTCAATATACAAAGCAGTTCAGAGTCAGTAGGTCCTATGGAATACAGAATATGGTATGTTAATATGTTGTGTTAAGCATGTACAAATAAGGCATGACGAATATGTTGCATATTGTCAATATACAAAGCAGTTCAGAGTCAGTAGGTCCTATGGAAAACAGAATATGGTATGTTAATGATTTGTGTAAAGCATGTACAAATAAGGCATGACGAATATGTTGCATATTGTCAATATACAAAGCAGTTCAGAGTCAGTAGGTCCTATGGAAAACAGAATATGGCATGTTAATGAGTTGTGTAAAGCATGTACAAATAAGGCATGACGAATATGTTGCATACTGTCAATATACAAAGCATTTACATGCACCACCAATGTCACCACCTGCCATTTGTTACAGATGCCGATCACCAAATGCCAAACATCAACTACCAAACACCAACCAGTGTCCACAAAAAGTTCGAGAATATAACAATATGTCACCATTTCTGATAGTGACATCATAATGTATAATGCTGTATGTATGCTATATGCTACTTCACAGGCTGGTATCGAAAGATTTGTCCGCTGTGACGGAGCATGTTATTTTTCATAAAAACACTAAGAAAATCACACAATTTATTTTTAACTCATATGTTTTGTTATACCAAAGAAAAGTACTCATTATGAAAGTACTATTATGAGTTGAAAAATAAATTATTAGTATTCTAAGTGTTTTTATGAAAAATAGCGTGTTCCGTCACAGCGGACAAATCTTTCAATACCAGCCTGTGTATATAGCATGGAGACGATGCATTTTGAAAGTCCCGGCTGCTACAACAAATTGCACTGTCATAATTCCAACACGTGTAATACTACATGTAAAATTCCCAACACCCATCATATGGAGGAGGGGGTCACATGCAATTCTTTGATTAACTAAATGAACTTATAAATAAATGGCAAAGAATAGGCAATATATGATCTCTTATACAGGTATAGGCAAATGACAAAATACAAAAAACTTTTTGATTTAAAATAGATGTCACTAGTAATTTACTGTTAACAGGATGCAACTATTCTAATCAGTAACAACTTTGGTAAAAAATCAATAATTCAAAGTTCAAAAGATAATAGTGGTCATATATGTGAATTGTGCAAGTCAACTGTAACCTTGAAGAAATGGCTTCTTAATTACTTGCAAGTGGCAATTAAGGACAATGAGACAGAGTAAGTGTCGTTTTTTATTTACTCTTACTGTATCTGTAATAAAAAGTTTAATTTTTTAGATGACTCTTTATCAAGGTCAATCAACAATAAATACCACCCCCTTTTGCATTGATTTTTTTATTTTTTGTCTTTCTTTGTTAATTAGTATTTAATGAAAAAACTATTTTCCAAAATCAGAGTACCAAGGCCAACAAACCATTAATTCTACAAATAAAAGCCAATATTCCAATACCATGAGTACCTCTGACTAATTTTAAACAAATATAGCACCCCCAAGGGATCCTAGTCTATATCCCTTTGAAACGCCTATGGACTTGGAGACTGGATTTTATCCATCCCACATCATTTGAGACTGAATGCTCTATCTTGTATGAGTACTTGTATCTACAACAATTTTTGAGGTTATGAGTATTGGCTTTCAATTGGCTATCAATTTCTAATTTTTTTTTCTTCAACATGTATTGTAATGACTTCAGTATGAATGAAATGTCCCTTGGTCTTCTGGTCTTGGATTGTGATATTGATTCTTGAATGGTGGGGGGAAAGGGGGTATTAGACATTGTTTCTTTTCACGTTAGATCATGGTTTTGGGCTATATGGGGTTTGTTTTTCTTGACTGGTATGCACTTAAAGTTTGTTTTTTCTTGCTAAGTTCCATTACAACTTTTGGTCCTTTCCCTTTGGCACTAGTGCTTATACATCCAATAGACTGAAAATCTTTAGAATTCAGTCTATTGATCATAGTCCCTCCTGTAGGGAAAAACATGAATTTTTTTGCACAAAATTATAAATTTTAGGAAGCTTCACTACCCAAAAATACATGTAAACATAATTACAATTTAATTAAGTAGTAAGGTACAATAAATGCTATAAAAAGTAACACAGGATATTGTCAAATGGAAATAAAGCTAGGGGAAGTAACAAATATACAAATCAATTTACTCCATCGGCCATTTTGAATGGCACTTCCTACTTTCATTCAAAATTTCAAAAGCATTTCAGACTAGAGGATGTAGTCTACAAGGGATCCATACTGTTAATGGCTACCACAGTATCAGACCATAGGTCATGAATCAAGTCAAACCCATAAGGCTCATATTTCCTCAATCAACCAATCAGCAAGCAGAAAAGTTTAAATGGTGGTCAATATGGAGTAGAAGATGATGTCAGAGAAAATGACCATAAACTGAAAATCATCCTTCTGCCCACGAAAAGCTTTGGTTGACACAGCAAACTCAATTCTGGGGTTTCTCTTAAGGCTCTTAAACATTTAGACGCCATTCACAATTATCGTGACCTCTGTATTTTTTAGGATGATTGTCATCAGAACATTTTAGACCAAATCATCTGGGTATTCTTCACAATGGCTGCCGCACAATCATTCATAGAAGAATCAGCGTCATTACTGATGTGTCCAATATGCCTACAGATGGTGAGCACACCTAAGTCATTAAAATGTTTACATACATTTTGTGAAGGATGCTTGGATGATTGGATCCAGAAACACATGAATAACATAAGCAAAACGTATGCCTGCCCAGTCTGTTCATGTGTCATTGATATCCCAGCTGAGGGGGCAAGCTCATATAGAACAAACTTCACGATGCAGTCCATGGCTGAAGCGTTAGATAAGACACAAATTTTACTCGAGCAGGACAGTTTTGAATGTGGTGTTTGCATTCATGATGATGTACACGTCCCTGCTGTCACAAGGTGCACCCAATGTGCTAAAAATCTCTGCCGTTCTTGTACTAAATTCCATACTAGATTAAAATCGACAAAGTCGCATATTCTCGTTGAGCTGACGGGAAATCCTGACAAAGATTTTAAAATAACAGCAAAGAGTTTGGGCCAGGCTGACATCCAGTGTCCTTCACATCCAGATCAGATTCTTCAGCTTTATTGCAAAACAGACAAGACACTTATCTGCATCGATTGCTGTGTCGGAGATCATTCAGGACACAAATATTTGAAAGTTCAAGAGGTCGCGAAAGATGAGTGGAAAAATCTAAAAGAGCTCATGGATCAGGGAAATGCAAGAACAAACATGATTGATCAGAAAATTAAAGCTACGGTTGAACTGAGAAACAGTCAGAATAAAAACCTAATTGAGGTTCTCGAGGCCATTAAAGCCCACAGGCATTCCATGATAACAAAAATCAACACACACTGTGATAAACTTGAAATTGGCGCCAAGACCCTACATGAGAAATCTTTGAAACAAATTGATGCTCAGCAAAGTTTCTACGACCTACAGAGTGGTAAAACTAAAAGCACAATGCTCCTCATGTCGTCAATCAAGGAATCAAGCCATCCTGTGGAAATCATCAAATCCATTCCTGATATCGAACAAAGGGTAGAAGACTGGAAAACAGAACCCATTGATTCTAGTAGTGAGCCAATAATCAAATCTTTGACATTTCAACCTGGTGATATTGAAACAGCAAACCTTGGGCATCTTGTAAGTGTTGATGTAATTCAAGAGAAATTGAGGGTTCAAGATCAACAGGTTGCCCAAGAAAACTCAAAGGTTCAGCGAGAGAAAAGAGCAGCAAAAATTATTCTGAAGCAGTTACTCAAGTTGCAATTAATATCCAAATTGTACAAGATCCACTTGATTAGAAATAAAGCTGAGGAAAAGAAAGTTCAACATCAACAACTGAATGAGTTGGAAACATATGGAGTCGATGATTCAATGTGCTCAATATGTGGAATACATTTTGTTCAACCATTGAACCCTAATCTTTTGGGAGCAGTTGGCTTAGCAGCTAAATCGTATATGTCACCAGTGCCAGTTGGTCAAATGTGGGTTACTGAAGAAGATACAAAAGTCCAGGTTTTGGAGACATCTCATACAAATACAGCTGAAGGAACCCCTTATATGAATGGTGTGACCAAGAAAAGTCACATTGCAACATTTGAGCATATCCAAGGGGCACTATCTTATAAGCTGTTTACAAAGATCTGCAATGAAAGGATTATCCCAGCTTCTACTAGATTCGCAAATTTGAAAATAATGGTTGGGAAGGTTAACAACCCCAAAATGGTAAGACTTAAGGAGTTGGATGTAGGGACATTGGAAACTAAGTACGGAGCTCTTATGGATTTGTTTGGCCAAACAACCAATGCAAGGCAGTGGACAAGGGTGGAGGAATTGGAAGATAGTGTTGGTGTTATTGAGAGTGAACTGAACAGGATTGGGAAGATATACCAAGAAGTTGTCCAGGAAATGCATAATCAAAAACAGGTACATATAGATATTAGATACATATACTTTTTTAGCTTTTTTGGAGACCTGGCAATATCTGCATTAGTATTGTCTGTAAATAGTGAAATAAACTGTATTTTTTAATTGGTTTGTCATATTTCAGTAGTTTTGATCAGCATAATGTTTTAAACAATTAAAATACATTTCAGGCGTCTCAGACTCCTGCCCATGTGATGTTTGATGAACGGGATGAGCGATCACTTCCTCCATCTGTACACGCCCAGGACCTTGAGGAAGAGTTATCCCATGCACCATATGTTGAGGATGAAGCTGGTCATTTGTTACAAGTCACAGAGAGATTTAACAAACCCAAAGGTCGAGGCCATGGTCGGGGTAATCGAAAGTGACACTATGAGAGGATATTAAGAACAACAGAAATATTGATTTTGACACTTTGAGAAAACAAACAGGCCCGTAGCCCCTTCCCACCTGCCCAAAAAAAGTCTTTCAAAATCAGTTTTCACCATTCTTTTCAAGTGATTTTTACCAAAGTTGTCAAATAAAACCCCCCTGGCAAATCCTGGCTACAGGCCTGACATACTTGCCTCCAGTTGGTCAAACATGGGTTACTGAAGAAGAAACAAAAGTTTTTGATATCTCTCATACAAATACAGCTATAGGAGACCCTGCAATGTAATAAGAATGGCGAGACAAAAAGTCGCGTTGCAACATTCGAACATATTCAACAGGCACTATCTTTTGTTTCTTAATCTCATCTTGGGCTCGATAAAGAAGTATCAAGAATGGACGATCTTGCAAGGGTTCTCATGCAAGAACCTATCATATCTGGGCTTTTGGCTGAGGTTTAACATTTAGTATTCGAACAAACTGAATTGTATCTTTTAAGAATTATACTTAACCAAAACACATGTTAATGAAAAATAGCAGACCATAGGATCAAATCTAGTGAAATGATTCACACTGGTAACAGGTAAAAGCTTACCTTTGGGACTGGCATGGATTAGAGAATTTGGAACTTGCCTTTTTGAATTCGAACTTTCTGAACTTAAGCCTCAAATATGTTGTTATTGATTCAAAAAGGAAGGAAATATAAAAAATCAAATAATCATTTATTTAGAATTGTTATCACATTTGAAAAAGTGAACTATTTATATCCACTGGTTTTGTTCAATGTGGTTTGCTACTGCAAACATAATATATATGTTCTTTATAAAAATGATGATATACAAAATTTTTGGACAATACAAAGGCAGTTCTGAAAATTGGTTTTTGAAAGGAAAGAAACTGGATACCGAGTGCCAACACTGTAAATGTAATGGTATATAATTATGATAATCAATAAAAAAGGTAAAATCAATTTTTATTTATCTATTTTTTATTTCTGTACTATAATACATGATTTGATTGTAGGAACAGTAGTTCTGTTCCATGCCAGCCCTTGTCTAGACTGGTGAGGGTTAAGATCGAGTGATAGCTTACCTTGTTCAACAATTTGAGGTACAGGTGATGGAGGCTTCAATTTTTGAGAACTTGGTACAGGGGGCTTCTGGGGGCTTGGCACCCTTGCTTTCTGAGGACTGGGAGACCTGGGAGGAGCAGATGGCTTCCTTTGACTTTGAGCTTGAATAGGCTGAAAAACCAAACAGAAAATCATAACACTTTCTCTTTAAAATGACTTTGACAGTGATTATTATCTTATTACCTGCTTATCTTATCTTAAACTTAATAATACTTACGGTAAATTCATAATACATTGAAGTTAAAAAGTTACATTAAAAATTATATAATACTGGAAGAGTGAAACACACATAAAATCAACCAATAGTTTCTGCTCTACTCTAAAAATAATATAAGAAAAAATATATAAAAGAATCTGTGCTGTTGTGTAGCTGTTTTGAGGTTCTTTTTTCAAATATAGAAAGAATGTGTCCTATTTTGGCAATTTCAATTATTTCAGAGAAATAAATTATTATCCCATGGTTGGTGCGAGGATATAGATTGAATATCACTATAAGTTATTGAATGATTTGAAGTGCAATACAGGATATTCTGCTCGAAATTCCGTATTGGAACGAGACCAACACTTAAAGGTTTTATAGGTAAGTTATTGGAAAATCATGGAAGCAAAATTAAACAATTGATTCTGATGATTTTTTCCTTTAAATAAAAAAAAATTGCCAATGGTAAAACATTTCTTAAAGACTAGCGTTCAACCAACACTGTATTGTAAAATTGTAAAATATATGCTTACCATGTAACCATGTTACCATGTATTGTAATTGTTTTTTGGAATTGCTTTAACATGTTTTTTCTTTGAAATAAAAAAAAAATATCGAGACAGAATATATCCTGTATTGCACTTCAAATCATTCCATAACGTTTTATTGTGTGATCCTCTGTATTGCTACTCCATACCAATATCTTTTGTATTGCGACGGAGATGATCAATGGGTTAAATCTCAGTAGCAATACGAAAAATTGGTGCAGCACAAGAACTGACCAATCAGAAGGCTTCATTTTACAGATCATACAATAAATGAAGTTATAACATACCTATGATGATGTATAGTGCAAAGTGTACACAAGACAGCGGGCCAATATAAGTTTTGAAAAGCCCGCGCCCGCTAACTTTCTGATTGGTCAAGGCGCTGACGTCATAACCAATCAATCGAAGATAAAACTGCGCGAGCAATTTTTCTAAACTCATTTCAATCATTTTCAAAGCCATTTGTTTGTCAATTCTATAAGAAAACGGTACTCTCTGACCAGTCTACATCATCATAGGTATGTTATAAATCGTTTATGTCACTATCGTGGCACATATGCCCTCGGTTCTCAGAGATCAATGTCCCTCTCAAGGTCGGGCCATATATCACTGAGACCTCGGGCATATATGCCACGATAGTGACATAACCTCTAAATATGTGGATCAAGATATCATATTTTAGCAAAATAGTGATATTCGATGGTTACAAAAGTGATATTCAATGTTTTTGAATATTTGTTACTTTCTTTAAGAATTAATTTTCAAAATATTTAAAAAAAAGATGTTAACAGTTTTTTCAAAATTATTTCAACACTTTTTTTTCAAAAACTTTTGTTCAAATTTTTTTTTTAAATAATTTTTTTCAACTTGATGATTTCTTATATCAATATCCACTCATGGATATAAATTCAAAACCATAGGATATTTCTATATTATTTGGATTTCCTTGAAATGTTCCACGAGTTAGTTTGCTCAACATAGCAATGTTCACTTTTCAAAACTTCCAATTTTGGCTATAGCTTCAACACTTAAGCTTTGTGAAGCATCAACCCCTTTAAAATTTCATGAGAGAAAGAATCAATATGAGTGTAAAAGAACAGTATTTTTCTCTCAGTATGCATTGTCATGGATTTGATTAGATATCTAAATTTTCTTTTTCAGTTAATAGGATTATAAAGGGAATTTACATCGTATATTTCAAGTGCTTCCAACATATCACCCTCTATTCTTTGCTACCATTTTAAGTACCTTTGGTGGTTTATTTGGAGATTTTTGCCTGATTTCACGAGTTGGTTCAATATCCTGTTCATCACTATCTGTCTCATCATCTTCAACAGGAGCTTCCTGTCTGGCAGGTATAGGGGGAGCCACTTTGGCTGATGATGCGTTCGATTTCAGCAACTCTCTTTGCTGTTAGTACAACAACAACAACACAACAATAATAACAAAAACAAGATATACAGAATTGACCATTGAATGTTTATAACCTTATTAAGCCATCCTTAGTACATGTACAGGGTGTCAAATAAATATGTTCTCCACCTAAGCTTTAAGATCCACATAATGGTGCATAACTTTTTGTCTGCGTAATATCTGAATTGTTCTTTGGCACAATTAAACTAGGCTTTATTAAGCAACTCAACAAGAAGTTTCAGATGATTAGCTCAAATAGATGCACTTTTATGCACAAAAATTCATACTTTTGAAATTAAGGGGAAGAACATATTCATTTGACACCCTGTATATTTTTAACTGTACATGTTTATAGTGTATAGCCATATCCCTCCAGAAATTGCATAGGTCACTTTTTTGAGTTTTTACAATATGTTTGATTTCATGAAAGTCAAAAGGACATTCAAAGAAAGAGGAGAATAGACCAATGGTATAGAACTAACTTAATGCTATATGAACAAGTGGAACACCTCCAAAGTGGAACACCTTTTAGTGGTAACAAAGATGTTCCACTGAGACAGGTTTTACTGAATATGAAATTAACATTTAACATATAACATCTGGCTTATACAACATCAAACCAATAACTCCCAATTCCATACACAAAAGTTTACGATCGAGTCCTCCTCCCTCCATCCAGTTCTAGCTATATTTCCTAAATCATGTATTTTTGAAAGAGGGGTTAATAATGTGACTGGAATCATTTATAGGAAGGAGGGCGGCCCAATGCAATATTTAGTCACATCTCAGTTACCTTTCTTTCCATGTCTTGTATCTTTGCCACAGCTTTGTCAAGTTCTCTCTGTTTAGCTTCTGTAGCCTAAATATAAAGAGATCCATTGAAAAAAGTAGAAAATGTGATTCCCCTATTATAAATAATAATTATGCAATAATTGGATATGAAATTATAAACAGTTTGTTGAGGGGAGTAGTACATATGAAAGTATAGAAAAAATGAAGTAATAAGAATGATCCATCCCCTGGACAAAAATCACATGACTTATGTCAAGGCCACGAGGTAACTGAGACTTCATTATTCCACTGAACGTCAAAGAAGTATGACTACTGAAAACAACCCACAACCCACCCTTGAACCAAGAAATTTAGGGTAAAATAGATAACAAATAGATAACAATTGAATTGAAGCAAAACAATAAAATATCTTTAGGACTTATGATGTCCCACCTTAATTTAATAAGAATCAATAGATGATTAGCCTAATTAAGCTAATTAAGGGTTGTTTCTAAGTAAGTTATGAAACATATCCCTTTAATTGGGCTAATTAAATTATCATTTAATTGTACTAATTAGGCTGCCTGATGGCAAACTGTTAGAATCAGAATAAATGAAGGATCCACAGTGAAGTTTCTAATTTCTCCAAAAAATGAGAGCTTAGATACAATTATAGACATAAACTTAATGTACTATATACAACTTAATATGAATAAAGATTTTAATTTGTACTTGTAAACAAATGATGGGTTGATTGATGTGCGAATGGATAAACTGATCAACAGTTGGTCAGCTTTTAGCAAGGGGTGGTTCGCTTTTCAAAAAATTCCAGGGGGTTCACATTCGACAATTTGCCCAAAACCGATTGAAAAATAGTCAGAATGGTGAAAAACTGCACGATTCTGAACTAATTTTTGGCCAGGCTCAAACCCCCCTGGCTACGGGACTGAGATGCCTATCCGATCCTAGAAGCAAAAGCTGAGATATTTTACCTTGAGGACTTTTCTGACTCTTTTGTCATATTCCCCCTTGTTGGAGTCCTTCTGTTCTTCAAGAGCACTCTGTGCATCTAATAGGGCTCCCTTTAACTACAAACAAGAACAAGGCAGTTAACATGCAAAATGTCACCAAATGACTGTATTAATATGGGACTTTGCTGATTCTTTTGTCATATTCCCCCTTGTTGGAGTCCTTCTGTTCTTCAAGAGCACTCTGTGCATCTAATAGGGCTCCCTTTAACTACAAACAAGAACAAGGCATTAACATGCAAAATGTCACCAAATGACTGTATTAATATGGGACTTTGCTGACTCTTTTGTCATATTCCCCCTTGTTGGAGTCCTTCTGTTCTTCAAGGGCACTCTGAGCATCTAGTAGGGCTCCCTTTAACTACAAACAAGAACAAGGCATCTAAAATAACCTTTTATGTCATGAGAAATAGTAAATGAATGATGAAAAAATATTTTCAAACTTTACATGCGGCCTTTTAGTCTAGTTAATGACAAATTGAGTGAATTAACAACGGAATAAAATAAATAGGCATGAAGTGAAGACTCTAAAATGTATTTAAAGAATGATGAAAACACATTTTCAAACTTTACATGGGGCCTTTAAGTCCAGTTAATGACAACATTTTCAATAAATTTCTAAAGAGAGATTATACGATACCTCGGCAAGTTCCTGTTTATGTTTTTTGTCCTGTTCTTTTTGTTTTTTAGCCAATGCTTTCCTCTCATCTTCAAACTTTTGGTACATTGCATCCTCGACATTATTCAACTGCAAAATCAGAGGTTGTGCTTTTAAATGAGAAATATTGAGAAAAGTAGTGGAATCGACAAAGAAAAAGTTAACAAGTCTACAGTGAAGACTATAAATTGTACAGAAATGCAATAAATCAGGCAATTCACTCAAATTCAAGAGAGAAATTGAGTGAATTAGCAAGGAATAAAGTAAAAAGGCCCATAGTGAAGACTCTAAAATGTATAAAATGCCAGAAAATCAAATATTCATTCAAATTCTAAATCCAAAGCAAATGTTGTTCCTTTGAATTAGCAACCTCCCTTACTGCTTATTTCCTACCTGATCTGACAGCTGTTCCTTTAATTTAGCAACCTCCTCACGCTGTTGTAAAATTAGGTCTTTATCCAGTTCTATATCATCTTTTAGCTCACCTAGATTGGATGGTTTCCCTAAATGGAAGACAATGAGATGCTTACTATAAAAACTTTTTGAACGACCCTTGTATATTCCACGACAGGCCTGTTATTCGATCAAATCGTTCATGGTTATCTAAGCAATTTGATTGGCTGCGAGTATTAAATGAGCTATATAGTTGAAATTTGTTACAATATTGTCATGTTCTCTATCCCCCATGTTAATAATCCCAGCTACTAATTTTAATGTGAATAATTATGTAGCCTAATTGTTTATGTACTTTTATGTATAAGCCTTACTTAATATTAACATAGAGTACATTTATATTTATATTATTTTAATTCTCTCCAAGACATGTAATAAAAACCTGCATATTTCTAGTGATTTATATGCCACAGACAATGTCATGATTAAGAACGAATAAAAGATAAATACAATATATATATCTATATTATCCTATATGAGGTTCAGGATATTGGGATTATCCCTGCTCAGCCAGGACAGATGTATCCTAGCCGCTGATGAAGATACAACTCTTAACCTCATTTGGATACCTTAAACCCATCCAAGTATGGGATAAATAAAGTATATCCTATGATTTTTGAGGGAAATTATTTTTATCCATGAGTGGACATCACCCATCTACACGAGTGAGCACAGGGATAGCTAGAGAAAATCATAGGATATCCTATGGAAGTCTTGCCAATTATTGCCAAATCACATTTAGTTTTTCACCATGATTTTGAAATGTAATTAATTCTTCAAGAAATTTAACATCAAGGTTTTATAAAATGTGGTAGCATGAAAACATTTAAATCACTTTAACAAGCACATTATGCTTTGAACTATATTCTGACAGTTCAATCAGGCAAGGCTGTTATTTGCCAAACCATTTACGGAGCTAAATTCACCACTAACGAAAAATATTATCTGTCAGATTACAGATACGATTGGACATCTTGTCACGTCAGTCAGATACAATTCCAGAAGCACCCCAAAATTATCTTGTGTTGAAATCTCCATATATATATTTAGTATCCAAGTGATAAATATTAGTATCCATGTGATAAATATTTAGTTTCCATGTGATAAATATTTAGTATCCAAGTGATAAATATTAGTATCCATGTGATAAATATTTAGTATCCAAGTGATAAATATTAGTATCCATGTGATAAATATTTAGTTTCCATGTGATAAATATTTAGTATCCAAGTGATAAATATTAGTATCCATGTGATAAATATTTAGTATCCATGTGATAAATATTTAGTTTCCATGTGATAAATATTTAGTATCCAAGTGATAAATATTAGTATCCATGTGATAAATATTTAGTTTCCATGTGATAAATATTTAGTATCCAAGTGATAAATATAAGTATCCATGTGATAAATATTTAGTATCCATGTGATAAATATTTAGTTTCCATGTGATAAATATTTAGTATCCATGTGATAAATACATACTACGCTCACTCATCCAGATATTGATATCAACTCGTGGATAAAAATGCTATCACTCAAAATCATTTCGACACCGAAATAAGTCACTGGACTAGTCAGTAGATTTGGTGCCTAAACGGTACCGAAATTTGGCACCGAAGCGGCTTCGAAAATCAGATTGCATTTTGGGGGTGTATACATATCCTACCGTATTTCTTATGATGTTGATAAACTGCTCTCTCTGAAGCTGAGTACTTTTCATTCACTTCCTTCAACTCTTTCATAAACATATCTCTTATAGAATCCATCTCCAACTAGAAATAGACATCAAAAATATCATTGACATGGAAACGGTGAAATACCATAACATTGACATGAAACAGTAAAATATCACAACATTGACATGAAACAGTAAAATATCACAACGTTGACATGGAACAGAAAAATATGTAAAATATCACAACATTGACATGGAACAGTAAAATATCACAACATTGACATGGAACCACAACATTGACATGGAACAGTAAAATATCACAACATTGACATGGAACAAAAAAAAACTCACAACATTGACATGGAACCACAACATTGACATGGAACCACAACATTGACATGGAACCACAACATTGACATGGAACCACAAAATTGACATGGAACAGTCTCTGGCTAGGACCAGATATATATCAAAAGCCAGGACAACAAGACACACAGTGATAAATATCGCACTTTGAAGAGCAAACTGGCCACCATGCAATTTACCCAGCATGGCCAAAACCTAATCAGACCTTGGCACTAGTCTGCTCTTGCATCTGTAAACATTTCAAGTTGACAAGGTTAGCAGTTTTCCTGCAATTTTGATGACAAGAATTTATTTGTAGTCTTGAACTTTGGGAAAATTTAGATAACATTGTTTGTGACCTAATTTGATGACATTCGACCTTGAAAATTTCACTTTTTCAGACCTCAATAGGTCTTTTGTAATTAAGCTGACCTAAATTTAAATCCAAAATATCAATTTAGAAAATCAAATTTTTGACCTTTTCAAGGTCACTGAAGGTCAACGAAAGGTCAAATCTGAAATCTAAGGTCAGATTTGAACTTCTGAGAACTTGGAGATGTTTTTTTTAAAAATTTGGTCAATTTGGAGCAAGTTGAAAAATTCAAAATGGCCGCCAAATTGAAAAATTCAAAATGGCCACCATGTAATTCAGCCAGCATACCCAAAACCTAATCAGATCTTGGCAATAGTCTGCTCTTGCATCTGTAAAAATTTCAAGTTGAACGGATAAGTGGTTTTCCTGGAATTTTGATGACAAGATTTGTTGAAAAATTCAAAATGGCCGCCACATAGTTTACCCAGCATGCCCTTAACCTAATCAGATCTTGGCACTAGTCTGCTATCTGGCTATTGCATGTGTAAAAATTTCAAGCTGAACAGGTTAGCGGTTTTCTTGGAATTTTGATGACAAGAATTGATTTGTAGTCTCAAACTTTGAGAAACTTGGATAACATCATTTGTGACATACTAGTTTAATGACGACCTTGAAAATTTCACTATTTCAGACCTCAGTAGGTCTTTTGTAATTAAGCTGACCTAAATTTAAATCCAAAATATAAATTTAGAAAATCAACTTTTTTGACCTTTTCAAGGTCACTGAAGGTGAATGAAAGGTCAAATCCGTGACCTAGTTTAATGACCTTGACCTTTGACCTTGAAAATTTCACTTTTTCAGACCTCAGTAGGTGTTTTGTAATTAAGCCGACCTAAATTTAAATCCAAAATATCAATTTAGAAAATCAACTTTTTTGACCTTTTCAAGGTCACTGAAAGTGAATGAAAGGTCAAATCTCAAATCTAAGGTCAGATTTGAACTTCTGAGAACTTGGAGATGTTTTTAAAAAAAAAATTTGGTCAATTTGCAGCAAGTTGAAAAATTCAAAATGGCCGCCAAATTGAAAAATTCAAAATGGCCACCATGTAATTCAGCCAGCATACCCAAAACCTAATCAGATCTTGGCAATAGTCTGCTCTTGCATCTGTAAAAATTTCAAGTTGAACGGATAAGTGGTTTTCCTGGAATTTTGATGACAAGATTTGTTGAAAAATTCAAAATGGCCGCCACGTAGTTTACCCAGCATGCTCTTAACGTAATCAGATCTTGGTACTAGTCTGCTCTTGCATCTGTAAAAATTTCAAGTTGAACAGGTAAGCAGTTATCCTGGAAATTTGATGACAAGATTTGGTTTATGTGCCGCCCGCCCGCACGCCCGCCCAACAGCACAAGACGACGACAATATAGCACTTTTTCAAAGTGCGATAAAAACTCACAACATTGACATGGAACAGTAAAATATCACAACATTGACATGGAACAGTAAAATATCACAACATTGACATGGAACAGTAAAATATCACAACATTGACATGGAACCACAACATTGACATGGAACCACAACACTGACATGGAACCACAAAATTGACATGGAACAGTCTCTGGCTATGACCAGTCATATATCAAAAACCAGGACAAATGACTACCTGGGTTGAAATAGTGAAAATGAGCGAAAATGATGCAAGCAGCAGAAATTATGGAAACTATCTCTAAATTATATAGCCCTTAGGAAAAATGTTATGGGTATTACCCATAGTGTTATCCATAATAATGGTAATTCATTAGGTCATTTATGGTTTTTATGTACATAACCCATAGTGTTACCCATAATGTTACCCATAACCAATAGTTATGGTTAAAACTTACATGTTAAAACAATGATATACTCATAATTTAACATAAGTAGATGTTATGGGCTAAGCATGGTTAGTGACAATGTGTTAATTATGTGTTACCCATAAAGTATGGGTACTCTACATTTTCAGCTTTGTTTATATTTTTCTGAAGGGGGAGACACTATTCTAAATAGAATGCTCAACAACATGACAAATATTTTCATATCATTTAACAAACTAAAAAATTATATATGCATGTTTTGCATTGTAAACTAAAAAAGCCCTAAATACTTAATGGTGTGTATTGAGATATAGAATATATTTCAGATAATTTCCCAAAATCTCATTAAACTATTGAACTGTTGTGTTTCTGATGATTGGATACCAATAACCTTTCTTTCAGTATAATTTCATTGAAACAAGCAGTACATGTTTTATGAATATTAACAATTCATGTCTTTCTTATACATTAGAATCTTTACTTTTTAAATGTGGCAGTGTTTGCACAAATTCACCTTTCAATAATTTAGAAATATTTTTTTGACTCGATCGACCCTGGCTATGTCCCTGACTAGTAAAATATGTGTACATTATGTACAGGTTATGTGCATGTTATTTGTAGCAATGTGCAAGTCATGTGTAGGTTATGGGCAAATGATGTGTCCCCATAACATACACATAAATTCCAAATAACCTGCACATAATGGCATAACGTAAAACCATTATTTACCCATTATTACCCATTATAAGTCATTACCAAAAAACTTAGGTTGGATACGGCATCAATTACCCTTACTTTATGGGTACTTGGGGGCTATGGGTAACAATATGGGTAGTTATGTGAAACCTAAGGGTTACCCATAACATTTTTCCTAAGGGATACTTGCTAGAGAAATGGATTGTTACATAACCAGCTGAGGATAATTACAGGTGATGTCTGACAAACATTTTTTATTCTTTTTTCATCTTTTGCTTTAACTTTTTGTTGTTTTCATTATAATTTATTTTTTATTGAAAATGAAAACTTAATTTCGAAAGTTACCTTATGTTGTTCAGTTTGTTTTATCCTCCATTTTTCCATTTCATTTCTGATTTCTGAATCTCTATTATTGTCTTTCTCCCCTTCCTGCAACACAAATTTTAAAAGCCTCTAACATTTTTTTCTGCATCAATGTGTATACATTTGCATTTTACAAGACTAAATACAAATTATAGCCTCTAACTCACATTCTCTTATTATTTCTGTTTCTTTTTTATTTCAGTACTGTAACACAAATATAAATGGGACAAAATTGTGTAAATGAATTACAATGGTACCTTATTTTTCAAAGCATTAATTGTATTTTTCTCCTGCTCTAACTGGGCCTGTGTTTGTTTCAGCTGGTCCTGTATCTCCTGCAGTGTATTCCTCACCCCAGTATTCAACATTGCTGACTGCTGATTGGTTGAATCTGGCATCCCTGATTGCTGATTGGTTGAATCCAGTTGCATGTTGCCAGGTGAGGTTGCCATGGATGCATTGTGTCGCCTAGTTACATGAGCGGTAAGGAAGGACGGATTGATGAAGGCTTTGGCACAAAATGCACACTGGAAAATTAGATAAAGCAATATATTTATTACAATAAATTACAAGGCAATAAAATGAAAAAAACCTCACCACCTGCCATTTGTTACAGAAGCTGGCCAAACCCCATCCACAAAAACGTTAATAGAATTTAACAATATATCTGAATTTTCATCGTTTTTCTTACCTTATGCTAGTATATGGTATTTCTCACTTAATGGTATTTCTTATCTTATGGTATTTCTTTCATAATGGTATTTCTTACCTTATGGTATTTATGTGATAGATTCATATTAAGAAAAGAAGAAGTAAGGCAGATGTGGGCAATAAAATATTACAAATTTTATTGAATTACGTAATGTTACATAATAGTTACAATAAAATAATTTTTGGTTGGGGCAAAAATGCCCGCACATATATGTACATGTGTATAACAATACATGATAATGAGACAAGGGTGGTGGCTGGGGAAAATGGGGGGAAAAGATTTTTACTATAATATAAATCTATATATATATCATATATATATAATGACTATGAAATCAGTTAAAATCTATTTTATAAATGTATCGATATCTAGGCTCTAGGCTGTAAGTTGAAATATCTGTGAATGAGACTAGGTAGTTTGTGAAAACAGAAACCCTAGAGCCTGGAAGATTCTGATTGGTTACTGATGTTAGAAGTTTAAAAGGTTAAATATTGCATCACCACACAAATATCCTAATGAAGCATTAGGGTCATTTATGTGATAGATTCATATTAAGAAAAGAAGAAGTAAGGCAGATGTGGGCAATAAAATATTACAAATTTTATTGAATTACGTAATGTTACATAATAGTTACAATAAAATAATTTTTGGTTGGGGCAAAAATGCCCACGGAATGCTATATAAACCTTATGGTATTTCTTTCCCTATGGTATTTCTTACCTTATGGTATTTCTTTCCCGATGGTATTTCTTACCTTATGGTATTTCTTTCCTTATGGTATTTCTTTCCTGATGGTATTTCTTTCCTGATGGTATTTCTTACCTTATGGTATTTCTTACCTTATGGTATATCTTACCTTATGGTATTTCTTACCTTATGGTATTTCTTACCTTATGGTATTTCTTATCTTATGGTATTTCTTACCTTATTGTATTTCTTACCTTATGGTATTTCTTTCCTGATAGTATTTCTTACCTTATGGTATTACTTACCTTATGGTATTTCTTACCTTATGGTATTTCTTTCCTGATGGTATTTCTTACCTTATGGTATTTCTTTCCTGATGGTATTTCTTTCCTGATGGTATTTCTTTCCTGATGGTATTTCTTTCCTGATGGTATTTCTTACCTTATGGTATGAGTTAACCCCAGATTGCATCATTTGTTGCTGAGCTGATAACATCTTCTTGCGCTTATGATTTTCTTTCTTCATATCAGCAAGATCTTGTTTCACTTTCTCTAATTGATTAATTGTCTCCTCATTCTCCTGCGGAAAAACACAAATGTGGTAAGACAAGGTATTAACCTGATAAAACAGGGCTCTAGCTAGGCTTTTAGATCGTGGTGCAGCACCACAGTCTATTTAGCTCCCACCACAACTTATTGAAAAATCATTATTGTTCCGACAGTCTAAACTCCACTGGATACAGAATAATGGCATGAGAAAAGGATTGTGAACATAGATATGATTTATCTTGATTAAACAATTACGCTGAAGATGTTTTCATCACAGACTAAATATTTCCTGGTGAGAGCACTGCAAAATGTCACCATTGGAAATTTGGCTAATAATTTCAAGTCACAAACATTTGGGTGATAACAATATGTCACCACTACTTAACTATAATAACATAACAAGGCATCAACATAAAAATGACACCACCTGCCATTTGCTACAGATGCTGAATGCCAAATGCCGAACACAGTCCAGCAAAAAGTTGGAGACTAACAACATGGCACCACTTCTTGGTTATAACTAAATCAGGATGTTGAAAAATGACGAATAAATAATCAACTGCCCATAAAAATTAAATTGTTCATGTCTATGTGTAATGTATGATGACATAAACTTACATGTTGGGACTGTTTGAGCTTATCTTCTACCTGAGCAGTGTTTGTCGAAAGGAACTCTTGTGAATGCTGAAAATAAACAGGTGTATGTCAAATACTGAAAAAACCTGTATGTACATAATGAATGTATTTTTTTAAAGTTCATTTATTGTATCTTATTTCAACATTTTTCTTATTGCACCTCTTTTTGTTTTTTCATTTTACAAATTCATTCGTTCCTGTGTTTGTTCATGCGCACATTCATTCATGTCTGCGTGGATTCATGCGTGAGTTCGTTCGTTTGTAAGTCATATTACAAATACATTTACAATCACATTTTGCATCATTAAGAATATCATAAAACAGTGTCAAAGATTTTACAAAATTTTGGGGAAAATATTGTTTCCATTGTTATCCGTTTCAATAAAAAGTTGTGAATGAAATATTTTTTTAACAAGTTATGAATGAAAAATATTTATACATAAAGGCCCTTACCAGTAAATATTCTATGGTTAACTGAGCAAGCTTGAACAGCTTCACAAAGTTTGGATCCACTGAGCCCATGTCCTAAAAACAAAATGACTCGTTAAAACAAAAATATATACTTTTTAAAACAAAATATGCTTCATAAAATAAAATAAATCTCACTTAATAAAATATACTTAATAAAATAAAATGTACTCATTAAAATAAATGTCAATTTCACATTTTATTAATTTAATTGAATTAGCGAGCGGACGACATTGAACTTGGTTTAAGCTGTAAATATTGAAATTCAGCTTCAAAAATGTCAAAATATATTGCATTGGTAATATTAAGTATAAAACATATTACAAGGTTCATGTATATTTCCCCTTTAGCATTGTTAACTTTGACTAGAGGCAAATTGTTACATGGATGCTGTAACACTTTCTTCTAGCTAAAATCTACAATATATGCATGAATTATTTCATTTTACACATCCACCATCTTGATCCATCAAAGTATTATTACATGACTGAAGGAGTACATTGGTTTAACAGTATAGTATGCATATCTACACAATCAAGTATTCAAAAATTAAGGAAATGACTGAACAGTAACCTCTCTAACCTCTCTAAGCAACTGGCACTGGCAAAAAATGTTCAGATGAACAAGTGTTCACATAACACAGTTTTTGACAATGTGGGTCCAGGTAACATTATGGCTATGGCTATTATGACATTATGGCGATGGCCAGGTTGATTGCAATTTGATGGCAAACTCAGCCCCGTAGCTAGGGGGGGGGGGGCAAAAATTATTTCAAAAGCATGCAGTTTTTCACCATTCTGAGCACTTTTTAACTGATTTTGGCTATTTTTGGACCAAAATTGTCACAAGTGAACCCCCCTCGAAATTCTTCAAAAACTGAACCTCCCTTGGCAAATCCTGGCTATGGGCAAGATAAGTTTTATTTATATTCGTTTGAGTGTAACGAATTAGAATATAAATTATTTCTACATATTACTACAGAGTGTAGCTTTAAGTGTTACGAAAATCGAACGCTATTTTCGAATGCGAGTAGAATATGAGTGAGTGAATACGTGTGTAGTGTTTAGGAGAGACGAAATCATTCTGGCTACGTCATCTATACAGTGAACACCTTATCCATATTACACGTGGACATTACACAATGGACCCAATAGACATGAGTCAACCAGCCTCACTACAAAGTGTTAGCACCTTGCTTACCCAAGAATTTGGGAAATTCCGAAAGCATTTGCGAGAAGAAACAGAGGAAAACAACGCTAAATTGCTAAAAAAGATGAAAACAGATGAAGAAAACAGTACACCATACGTGTTCAAGAAAAAGGGCAACAAAATTCAACACGAGTTTAATCTTAAGCTGAACCTTAAGGTGAAAGTCTGCTTCCAGACTACTACAGACGCACTAGAGCGCGCGAGCGAAGCTGACCCCGACAAAGTGAACGATTTATTGCAAGAGGCTCACGACTCAGCTATGAAAGGTATTGATTTTCTTACATATAGAAATAAGTTGGTAAAACTAGCTGATACATCCAACGCAGGATGGAAAACTGTAGATGAATACGATAAAAAGCCATTGGCTAATGACAGTGACGATGATAAACGGATAAGAACAGCCGATCGAGATGCAGTACGCAAAATGAGATCGTCAAATCGATACCGTTCTTCTCGTAGATTTTCTAGTTTCAGAAGTCGCAGAGGCCAATACAGAGATGATCAACAACGCGACAGCTACTTCAAGCAGGGGCACAGTTACGCATCAAATCGCGGATATGGGTACGAAGGACGCTATTATCCACGTGGAGCAAGCAAGTTCAGACCAGGTGGTTGCTGGGCGTGCGGCGAAATCGGGCACTGGGCAGACACGTGTACCAAAAGGAACCAAACAGAATCCAGTCGTTAGTCGTAGCACAGTAGAAAAGTTAAGTACAAACACTTCTGAAATCTTGAAAGACCTGGGAAACAAAATTCATGTAAAGGGTAATTTAAAGAGGCATGCACAGTTTTGGTCACATATAAATGCAAACAGTTACGTTTTAGACATCGTAAAAACGGTTATAAAATTCCTTTTAGAGAAATTCCGACAGAAGCGTTTTTGAAAAACAATAGGTCATCTCTAGAAAATACAGAATTCGTGGTAAAAGCTATTCAAGAATTAGAATTACTGGGGTGTGTAAAGGAAGTTCAAGAAAGACCATGGGTCGTTAATAGCAATCAATTCGAAGGGGAAGAAACGTTTAGTTTTAGACATGAGGCACACAAATGATTACATTTCCTTAGACAAATGCAAATACGAAGATTTATCAACCGCAAAAAATTATTTGAAACAAGGCAAAAAGTTAATCTCGTTTGATATCACTGCGGGATATCATCACATTGATATTTGCGAAGCACATCAAACCTTTCTGGGGTTTTCATGGGAAATTTGTGGAATACAAAAGTTTTACAAATTCACAGTACTGCCATTTGGTATTTCAACGGGAGGTCTCGTTTTCACAAAATTGATGAAAAGTTTGGTTTCACACTGGAGATCATTGGGGCTTCACATTGTAGTATTTCTTGACGATGGCCTATGTGTATCAGAAAACACAGAACAGTCTAGAGCAAACGCATTTCGCATTCAAGCAGGCCTAAAACATGCTGGGTACATAATCAATGAAAAGAAATCTGAATTTGAGCCTAAAGATTCATTGATACGGTTAGGGTTCGAGCTAAACATGAATGACGGAAAAATCTATGTCCCCACGGAAAAAATTAGCGATTTGAAATCAAAAATTGTCAATTTAATGAAACAAAGGTTCGTAACCTACAGACAAATAGCCGAAATAGTAGGCAAAATCATGTCTATGATGCATGGTATTGGCAAAATATGTCAATTACACTTATGTTAAGCAGTGATCTTTTAGTTTAGGAAAAGCCGGTGACCTGCTATCAGCTGCTGCAGAATGTAAACAAAGCCTGCATAGCTGACTACCACTAAAGCGCTAATGTGTAACTTGACCTTTTTAACATTGCTGGCATTGTGTTGCTATTATAAGACAGCCACTTGCTTGTGAGATGTAACTAGGATTAGGGTTTCCCAATTTTGGGGGTAGTCTTAGTAAAATATGTCTGGGGGGCGTTTGCAGGAAGGGATCAAAACAATTCTTTCAATCCTGCATAGGCAAGACAATTCTCTAAATGAACAATTTTGAATCAAGTTGATCCCTTCCTGCAATTTTGAGAGGTTTAATGTTCAAGTTGCCAGAATGTTCAGAGAGAATACATTTATTAACTAACCAGCCTGTCATCAAGGTGCTTTAATCTGATAAACTTTCACTCAAATTAAGAGAAACCCTGGAAACATTAGAGGAAGGTGTAGTACTTTCACAAAGTGTTAATTTCAAGACCCAACTCAGTATTAATTACAAGCTGTAATACTATTTTTAAGATGATCACACATTTTAGATACCAAAGAGTTTCTGTGTAAGCATTAGGCCATATGGTGGGAAATCCTAGCAGTGACGTCACTCACTAGCTGATAAGACCAGCTTGAGTAGCATTAAGTGCACTAACTAAAAGTTCGTTTACAGGCCAGCATAACATAAGTGATTAATGACACGATGTTTAAGTATGAAAACAGTAGGCATAACAAAATGGGAAAACAGCACAATACTGTCAAATTCAGATATTACAGAACTAGAATTTTGGTTGAATGAAATCGAAAAGTATAACGGCGTCGCGTTAATCTCATACACCGTGCCAGAGAAATTCGTGTATTCAGATGCATCAAGCACTGCAGCCGCGGGCTATGAGGTAGAACTAGAATCGAACAAACAACAACCTTGTTATCTAAAATGGTCAGAATCAGAAAAGCTCAAAAGTTCAACTTGGCGTGAAATGAAAGCAGTAGAAATTGTTTTGAAATCTTTCAAACATAAAATTGAGGGCAAGTCGGTAAACTGGTCAACAGATAACAAAAACGTTTGTAGCATAACTAGCAAGGGTAGCATGGTTAAAGAATTGCAAACTTTAGCATTGAGCATTTTCCAAGAATGTATCAAATCAAAGATTGACATGGTCTTTCAATGGGTACCTAGAAATCAAAATCAAGAAGCTGATTTAATGAGCAAAATGTTGGATCCAGATGACTGGGAAATACAGCCACATATTTTCAAATTATTGAATAGTAGAAACGGACCTCATACAGTCGATCGTTTTGCTAGCATAGAAAATACACACTTAGAGAGGTTCAATTCAAAATTCGCACAACCAAACGCGGAGGCAGTCGATGCTTTTAGTTGTAATTGGGGAAAAAGAAAATAACTGGTTGGTACCTCCAATACAAGATATAGGAAGAACGATAAAGCATTTAATAGCATGTAGAGCAATGGGCACATTGATTGTACCGTGTTGGAAATCATCGTATTTTTGACCACTTATTTCCAAAGCTGGCAATTTCAAAGCTATAGTCGTGGATCACGTTGAATTTGGGAATCCAATGAAAGTGTATAAACGAGGCAGTTTCAACAATACTATATTTGGATCTGAAAAGCTCAAATCGCATGTTTTAGCACTGCGCTTGAACGGAAAACTATTTTAGAAGATTAGTCCATTACTAGTTTATCAAAAACACCGAAAGTACGAAGACAGCCTTGAATGTATGGTCAAAATAGTATATACAATTTGATTTTTATATCTTATAGCATCTAGTCATTATATTCCTCTTACAGACAACATTAATATACGTATGCGTGCCACGGCAATCGTGTAAAAAATATTAGGCTTATTTATAGACAACAAACTATATCGGAAATAAAGGCAACTAATTTAAAGTCACCGTAGGCTCATTGTATATGACAAACTTACGCTAAACAGGGATGCCAATTGCCACCCTAGGCTTAAAACGTATAACCACCAATTATGTTGCTTACGTCGCTTAAAACTTATATCCACCATAGGCTCAAAACATATAACCATCGTAGTTTTAAAAAACGTATAGCCACCGTAGGCTCAAAACGTATAGCCACCTTAGGCTCAAAACGTATAGCCACCGTAGGCTGGCTCAAAAACGTATAGCCATCGTAGGCTCAAAACGTATAGCCACTGTAGGCTCAAAACGTATAGCCACCGTAGGCTCAAAACGTATAGCCACCGTAGGCTCAAAAACGTACAGCCACCGTAGGCTTAAAACATAGCCACTTAGGCTTAAAACGTATAGCCACTGTAGGTTTAAGACGTTTAAACACCGGATATTTTTAAAGAACGAATGGTCACCGCAGAATCATATAACGAATAGCCACTGTATGGTTAAAATATATCAATGACACGGGCAGTAAGTGATAGCAAACGTATCTTTATTAATGATAACATCTTGCTGGAAATATGCGAAGAATACAAATAGACACTGTAAGCATATACGTCATTCTGCTAATTCAGACATCTTTTTCTGTTTTAATTGTTATGTTGTATGTCGTTATGAGAAATAAAGAGTACGGTGAATACAAATTATGCACACCAAAAAATACATACACATAATATAAGTTTGAATATAATACCATGTAATTTATCTAAAAAATGTTTACGTACATATTTATAGACAACTTGTTTATGTTTATGTCATATGTAATAGTATATTTTATATCAAATACATGTACACGTTTCATATTATGTTTGTCCTTTGTGAATATCTGTTAATTTTAGAAACTGGATGAAAGCTTCGATTGGTTGAATTCTGTGAAAGATATTGAGCACCGAAGAAGCAGAATACCCCCGTTGTTCAAGTAATTGAAATATTATCGATTGTAAAAATTTTACAGGTATACTCGGAAGGCTCTCGAAAGACGACATTGACGGAAAACGAGCAGCAATAGAAGCTGATAAAAGAATTGTAAAAAATAAATAAGAAATGCATGCATAATTACGTGTTTAAGTTTTCTCAGTAAGAAAAACAATTGTAATATGATCAAAAAATTCCAGGATTGTTGAAACGGGCATGGACAATATGAAAACAATAGAAGACCCACAGTTAAAAATACTATCAAAACAATTAATGGTTGAAATCGTCAACTCCAGTAAAAGCGACAACACAAAGAAAAAATATACATTTTACTTCGAAAAGTGGACTTGATGGTCTAACATTTTCCCCGAAGTCAAGGACATTCCTGCTGAACCAAGGTATATCGCAATATTCTTGTTAGCTCAACTACAAAGTGGATCATCATATCATGTTTTGAACTCTTTACGCTCAAGCATTAGCTGGGCGCACAAATGTGCAGATTTACCAGATCCATGCTGTTCATCATCACTAACATAATAGAGGCAGCAAAACGTCAAACTAGCAAACCTGTTCAGAAAAAAGAACCCATAAAAGCAAGTATGTTGACTCAATTAGTTAACAACATGTCCAAGGACAATTCACTTAAGAACTTGAGAAACGTCACTCTTTGCGTGTTAGGTTTTGCTGGGTTTTTACGTTATTCCGAATTAGCACACATAACCGTAGGTGACGTTTCATTTGACGAAATGTATTTTACAATAAACATTCCACAATCCAAGACAGATGTTTATCGAAATGGAAATTCAGTTGTGATTGCAAAAACTGGTAACATAACATGCCCATATAATATTTTACAAAGTTATTTAAAGGCTCTTGATCCCAAGAACTTGTTATCAAAAGACCAATATATTTTTAGAGGGTTGTCTCGCAAGAAAGATGGTAGTTTTGTAGCAAGGTCCCCTAACAGAATGTTATCTTACACAACAGTCAGAGAAATTGTGTTAACATCCATCAAGAGTATTGGTCTCAATCCAAAGCTTTTCGGTGTACATTCGTTAAGATCAGGAGGCGCCACAACGGCGGCCAACAGTTCAGTTTTAGAGAGAAATTTTAAACGACATGGTCGTTGGAAGAGTGAGACCGCAAAAGATGGATATGTGAAAGACGATATTATAAGTAGATTGGGAGTTACCATGAAACTTGGTCTATGAATGTTTGTAATGAAATATTCTCAATAAAATGTTTAAAGTTAAGAGTACCGTTGTTAAAGTAACGTGTCAAGAAGCCAACTCTTTCTCTAGATTTTCTGTAGCGAGATGCGACCTCTAGCCAAAGCTATTTTTAATATCTAATGAGTTTCATGTTATTTAAAAGCGCAACGCTTTGTAATGTATAGAAGTTTTATTTATATTCGTTTGAGTGTAACGAATTAGAATATAAATTATTTCTACATATTACTACAGAGTGTAGCTTTAAGCGTTACGAGAATCGAACGCTATTTTCGAATGCGAGTAGAATATGAGTGAGTGAATACGTGTGTAGTGTTTAGGAGAGACGAAATCATTCTGGCTACGTCATCTATACAGTGAACACCTTCTTAAACGTCATTGCAGGTTAAACATGTTCAACGTTCGATAGGTTCCATGCATTAGTTCATACCTTTTCAGGCCACATTTCGAGGCTCCTCACAAAGAGGTTTTAATGGTGAAAATTAATGCATTCAATCAATCGAAAGTTTTTTCAAAAACTCAGACATGCATCTGTAGGCATACTTTATTACCGATGTTCATAAATGATGTGTAAATTTACACTACTGGAAAATTATCTGATGTAATTCAATGGGTCCTGGCCTTAATAATTAATAAACGAGATGCGACCTCTAGCCAAAGCTATTTTTAATATCTAATGAGTTTCATGTTATTTAAAAGCGCAACGCTTTGTAATGTATAGAACTCATTTGATATGAATAGTACATGCCGTGATTCACTTATTCACTAACTGACCGATTGATTTATGAATATTTATAGGTTAATCTGGTAGCCGACAGCTGAAAGTTGCATTCACAAACAAGATAATGTTAGATAAAAAAAGTTTGGACAAATTGAGAAAAAAGAATTCACACATAAGTGCTATTCGATTAGAGAGGTGTTCGCATGTATAAAGATTTCACCTCAATTACATCTCTCACTTTTTTATGACATTTGAAAGCTTAATTGTAAAATTGTTTTAACCTCTTGAATACCCACAATGACGGATATTATATCTGTCACAAATAAAATCCATTTGGAACCCAGAGTGGCAGATATATTAGAATGTAATGGGTCTATGTTTTCTATTCTTATGAAATCAAATATCAAACATTGTGTTTTTAGATGTAAATATCCAGCAAACTAGCAGAAAATGAAAAATGCTCTGGTCACCCCAGAATAGCCTGACAGAGGTAACTGGCTTAATCGTTGTGAGGCTATTCCGGTGTGCTGGTTCCAAACCCTTTTTAGAGGCTGGTATTCAAGAGGTTAATCTCATGAAAATGACTAGTTCTATATGGGAGAACAATCACTTACCAGTTCAGCTTCTATGTTACAGAATGTGATATTGAGAATATTCTCCTGTAATACATGGAAGTCCAAATTCCTTGAGATTCTGTCAACATCAATTGAAGCTGAAAAATAAACAATCAAATTATATACATAGAGCATCTTCGTTCACTCGGCTTCCATCGGACGATGAACGCAGTGAAGACCGGAGCGTGTGAAGATGTACATAGAGGATATCCTATGATTTTTGAGGGATACCATTTTTATCCATGAGTGGATATTGCCCATCTCCACGATTTGTTGATATAATTTGTAATTAAATGAAAAAATGAACCACTGTCCCTTTTTCTTAATGCTAAAAATAAGGAATATTAAAATTACATTTGTAAAAATGTTTTGCTAAACTTTTCTTGAAAAGAAAGTTTTATTAAACTTGTTTTACATAAAATGACAAATCATTTGACTTGGTCAATAAAAGTATTAAACAAGCATTAAAATTTTACCTATTTTTCTCCAGTCAACTCTTTCAAACCTGCGTTTGAAAGCAAATCCCTGTTCTGGTTTTTGATGTTCATTTGTTGTTCCCCCAAAGCCATGGTAACCATTGCTTATGCCCCCTGAGACAGGCATGCTATACATTCTCCTGAAAATAGACATACATTGGCTATTTGGTTTTTCCTTGTGATGTCATAATGGGATTTCCCCATAAATGTTTTTCCTTGTGATGTCATAATGGGATTTCCCCATAAAAATGCGAAATTTTACATCCAATCAATCCATCAGTGTTATGAATAAGGCGCCTTGTTTATCCTCGACTCAAAAATTTACTCCTGGTTTATCAAAATAATTCGAAATCAAACAATTCTCAGTCTAAACATATGGCTTTTAAAGTTTCGACAGCCAACTAGGCCTAATCCATGAATACACCTTCGATCCTTCATCATATTTCGAAAATAGAATTCCTCACTACCAAAAGTCAATGGTAAATTTCACATACGCCATTTTGTTGAATCCTTTGATTGGATTGGTCACCTTAAAAACAATATGGCCAACAAGGAAATATAAAAATAATATAAAATTGATTAAACTTAAAAATGTGATTTATCTGCACAGCTCCTTTAATTAAAACCCGAATATATCAGGCAAAAGTGTAACTGCACACAATGCTATGCATATTGTAATGTAACTATCGCATATATTGTCTAAAATGTATTAAATTGACGTCATCAAAACAGAAATTTACGCCAATTTGAGTGGCAATTTTCTCAAAAAGTGGAGGAAACCGGAGCTTGATATCTTACAAAACCACATTTTAGAGTGTGTTTATTCAGACAAATGTGTGAAATTAAAGGTTCACGAAAGTTCAAGACACGAAATAAGCAGGTAAAGTATTCCTCCTCACGATTTTCTTGAAGAATAGAGAGCCATTTAGCTGTGAAAAGATCGAAAATACCTACATCTTCAAGCATTTAAACCCATCCCGCCATTTGTTTACGATGTTGTGCCTCCAAAGCAATAAATTAAGACACAATTATGATAAATAACCCCTCCTATTTCCATGTTAAAAATGTGGGGTGACAACGTTATTGAAACAAAAGTTATTTCTTCAGGTGCACATCGCATCCACTAATCAATAGATCGTAATCAATGAATCAGAGCGTAGTCTGGCAGAAAATCGCCAATTGAAATTTTCCACACCAATTCTAACTGAAATTCATTCTATTCTACAATAAATACTGCATATGTTTAAGGCGACGCTATATTAAATAAAAAGTACAAAAAATGACTGCCATATTTTTTTGATAAAGACACATGTTTTTAAAATCTGTTTACCTTGTATATGAATTGTGTATCTTGACTAATGAAACATGTCAAAGTTAACATCACACATAAACGCATTTTTCCAAACTATGAATTGGAGGTGCATTGATCCCCAAAGCTAGCATGAAGAGTGCGAAGTGAGGCTAATTTTTGAAAGTTTCAAGGAGTAGCCTTGCAACAGTCACACATTTGCAAGAGTCTAAAATTTCCACAAATCATCTTACCTTTCCCAGGAACAACGAAGGAGCATGAAAATGTGCACTTCTTGCATTGTTAGAGTATAATAAAGCTCAAACCATTGTAAATTCTAAACATTTCATGTCCACATTTTGTTTGCCGGAACTACTTCTAGACTTCCTGATTAATCCTCATGCAAGTTTTGTGACTACACCAATTGGCATGGATTATCACTTGTATGTTTTATCTATTACAGTGTAATTATCATGATAGATACATGATAGAGGCTTTATGAATGATAAACAATGGAAACATGAATGAAGATAACTCTGGACTAAAAAATAGTTCCAGGAAACAAAAATGGTGGACATGAAATATTTAGAATTCACAATGGTTTGAGCTTTATTATACTCTAACAATGCAAGAAGTACACATTTTCGTGGTCCTTCGTTGTTCCTTGGTAAGGTAAGACTATATCTAGAAATTTTGAATTCTTGCAAATGTGTGTCTGTTGCAAGGCTACTCCTTGAAACTTTCAAAAAATAGCCTCACTTCGCACTCTTCATGCTAGCTTTTGGGAGCCATACACCTCCAATTCATAGTTATGAAAAATGCGTTTAAATGTGAGGTTTTCTTTTATGTGTCTCTTTAGTCAGGAAATGCATTCACATACAAGGAAAACAGTAAACAAAATCTTCTGACTTTATCAAAAAAATGTGGCTCCCATGTTTTTGTACTTTTGATTAACTTAAATGTCACCTTAATAAAATATATTATCAGATGTAAGTATAAGGTATATTTGAAATATAAGACCCAAATGTTTGGAATTATGACATTTGAGATTGAAAAATTCAAATTACAGTAGTTTGAGGATAATTTTCCATTGACTTTTGGTAGCTTGTTCCTAAATCCACCATTTGGTGAAAGCACAACACTGGAACCAATTGAGTATCTAAAATTATTCTATTATAACGGACATAAATAAATGCTCTTAAATAGTCTAGATCTGCAGAAAGCATGTCAAATTAAAATAAATCTCATTTGTTATGAACTGAAACTTGAAAGCACTGAAAGTGAAAATTCAAAAATAAACACAAAAAACACATTTTAGGAATAAAATTGCACTTGCCTGGGATTTTAGATCATAATATTAGTATATATATGTTCTTCTTCTGTAGGTCTAATGTCAGGGGTAGTTATATGGTCTTGATCTCTCATAATTCTCGAGAAATAACCAAGTTTATGAAGAAAACAAAAAATTTCTTCAGAATTTCAAAAAGTTCACATTGGAAAATGTAGGTCAAGGTCATATATTTTAAAAATTAAAGTTTATCCCTTTTCTTGATTTATTTTCACACAAGTAGGTACCCTGATATATCTATGAACCACCTAGAATATTCTGGATAAAACATTTGTCATATTTTTACGATAAATAAGGAGAAACATAGGGTTTTTTCAAAAACAGGAAATGATTCCAGAACCGGAAGTGAAATTTGGACCAATCAGATTCCACCACGATACATTCGGTAGTACACATCAGCTAAAGCAGCGATGAGGGAGGTGTGGAGTTTGTACCGTTTTATAACGTCTCTACCGTTATTCTACTTCGCTTTAGACTTTCAAATAGATGGTAAGTGGTTAATGAATATATGTAGCATATTATCTGTAAATTTCATTGATTTTTATCTTCGAGGTTTTGAGAAAATTGACTTTGAAATTGAAGAATATGCGTCAGATTTTAGAAATGCATTTTGACATTCACTCATCTCAAGTCATATCCTTCAAGTCTTTGTCTATAGGAATTTACTACATTTATGTGTGTAATATTCAAATACCAGGCAGGAGCGTCGGACCATATTTGAAAAGGGGGGGGGGGGTGCGTTTTTCAGAAAATATAGGGGAGGGGGGGTTACAGGGTTCACCTAGTATGTATCCAACAGACCGAATATAATATTCGGTCTGTTATGATTGATATATTTCCTGTGGAAATCGCGGTGATATTTTTTGCACATTAATTTCTAGTTTATTATAAGAATGTTCACCTTGAAAATTGGTGAATATGTTGAAGAGATGTTCATCTTAAACTAGAAGCAAAAATATTTGTATAAGGCGGGTACAAGTTGATATAAAATAATGAAATGTTCAGACTCACCGAAACTTCAGGATGTGTTCATAAGTAGATCGCGAAATCAATGTCAAGGACGTTTGAGTTCACGAGATCCAAACGAGATATGCAAATTTTGAACTTTGACAACACATGACCACTTGATTACCTCGGCCTTCTTCATGAATATTTCCGCTCTATTTACTATTAATGAAGAAAATTAATCGGGATAATGATAATAAATGACTAGATCTAATAAATTCCCGCACAAATGGAATTTAGCAATACGCTTCCGTAATGTTGCTCCCGCTCCACGTGTTATTTGTTTACAAATAGACTGACGTCACTGGCTAAATCTCGTTTATCGTGAGAATTGGCATTGCCAAAATGGCTTGACCTAATCAATGGCTTCGCTACAAGAAGCGTCTGTACATTTTATGAATATCTTCAGTAAGAGGACAATATACGAAAAAATAATATTGTGAGTTCTTTATAAGGTAATCATTCTATCATTAAACAAACTTATTTGTAACATTTATACAACACCACATTTTACAATAGGTGACTTACAGTCTGAATATTTATTCAGACGAAGGATACAGTCTAAGGGTTCACCCCTGGGAAATTTATATGGTGCATTCACCTCTATTACCTTCATATAAAGATAAAAAATTGAGAAAGTGTTGGGCTTAAAGGGCTTAAAAAGACACATTAGCTTAGGGCCAAATCGATTTCTAAAACAAACAAATGTCATTGAATACTTCTTTCAATTACAACAGTTGACATTATTCATTGATAAAATTTGTTTTGAAACAGTTTGGTCCGATTCCCTCATTTAAGACATCAACCGATTTTCCTTATAGAACTGTTCCATGTACAATCCCCTACTGATCAGTTAAAAAACAGATTTTTTCAGCAAAAAACTGAAGCTTTTTAATATGTTTTCTACAGGAAGTGACGCAAGCGCTCAAGATGTTGAACAGCATCTTGAGATGGGGAAGAAAATGTTGGCTCAAGGTGCCCTTGCTGATGCCCTGTCACACTTTCATGCTGCTGTAGGTAAGTCTGTCACACTTTCATTCTACTTTGTGTATTCTGTCACACTTCTATGATGTTGAAGGTGAGTCTTTCACACTTTCATTCTACTTTGGGTATTCTGTCACACTTCTATGATGTTGAAGGTAAGTCTGTCACACTTCCATTCTACTTTGGATATTCTGTCACACTTCTATGAAGTTGAAGGTAAGTCTGTCACACTTCCATTCTACTTTGGATATTCTGTCACACTTCTATAAAGTTGAAGGTAAGTCTGTCACACTTCCATTCTACTTTGGGTGTTCTGTCACTTCTCTATGATGTTGAAGGTAAGTCTGTCACACTTCCATTCTACTTTAGAATAAGTCACATTCACATTTCCATTGTACTACATTGAGGGAAATGTTGTCACATTCCTTGCTGATGTGTATGTCTATTTTATTTACTTCTATGCTACTGTGTATAAGTCCGTCACACTTGCATGCCACTGTAGGAGTGTAGGTCAGTTTGTCACACTTTCATGCCGATATATTTTAGCTCATTCTGATGTATATGATTAGAAACTAGTAATTTTGCACCCGTGTCCATCTCCATCAGTCTCTCTTTAGGAATTATGGCCATGAGACTCAGTATTTCAGTGAATACCTGGTAAGTAATTGTTTATAATACAACATACTGCTGTGATAAATAAGGGTTATGTACTGGGAGGTTTTGGATATGGGGTTTATCCAGAGGGAGATATGCATATCTACCTGAGGGACCGTAGGGACCGAAGGTAGATGTGCATATCTCACGAGGGATGAACCCAATATCCAAACCGACCGTACATAACTGCTTTATCCTATACCAAGTAGAGTTTTCAGGGGCATATGGCCATTTCAATAGTGCAAGGTGTATGCAATGTCATTTTATTGCATTTCCACTACTTACCGGAAGCGGGGAGATATGCACCGAAGCGGGAAGATATGCACCGAAGCGGGAGATATGGAGGTTGGAAACTTCAAAATCAGGATACGGGATATATCTTACCAACTTATCTCCCTAAAACTCTACTTGGCATAGGATAAGGGATGTTATGCACCAATATACAGTTTTCAAATATCAGAAATCTTGTATTGCAAAGACCTGAGGGTGCCCTTGGGGAAAACACATACTAATGTAATTAAATAATCAGATAACACAGAAATTAATTCATGTTATATTCAATGCCCTATGTGGATATCAAACCTAGTCACATGCTCAATCCTAGGTCTTCCTAGTATGTTATATATATTGTATAACAATGATTGTATATAATGCAGGGGTTTCATTAGCAGCAGGCAACTGGTGATTTTCACCGGTTGTTTTCACAAAATTGCCTGTTGTTTTTAGGAACATTTCAATGTTAAATTTATAATTTTGCCTGTTGTTTTCATTTATTTAGCCTGTTGTGAAAAATTCTAGTAAAACCCCTGTAATGTATAATAATTTTATAGTGAAATAAAATGAAAATAATTTATAGAAGGTCTTTTACAGGGGAAAGTTGAACCCTTTGGATAGTTATTAATTAATTAGCCTTACTAACTGCTGGAACTGTTTTAAGTGTTGTACTATGTAATCGTTTTTTCACAGGCTTGTCTAATTTATTTCTACATTTATTTATAGATGGCGATCCGTCCAATTACATGACATATTTCCGAAGAGCAACAGTTTATCTGGCCATGGGCAAATCTAAATCGGCACTTCCTGACCTTAAGAAGGTTATTGAATTGCGGCCAGACTTCCATGCAGTAAGTTGGTTTCTCTTTAGTTTTACTTGAAAAGCCCCTGTGAAGTAGCCACATGTATAATCTAATGCGTTCTTCCCAGGATTTTTTAAAGCATGTATAGTGAAACCTGTAAAGTGGAACACCTATTTCAAGAGTCCCAAGCCCACCTGAGACTTAATGTTAAATGAACCTCTATATGTGGAACACCTCCAAAGTGGAACACTTTATCGATTACTAAAGGTGTTCCACTTAGACAGGTTTTACTGTATGTGTATTCTAAGTTGTGTCAGAAATAGTTACAATAACCAAAATTCATGCACAGTAAAACCTGTAAACATTGATCACCTATGTAGCCACAAAAGTATTCACTGTAGGTAGGTGTTCACTGCATGCAGAGAGGAAATTTTATACAGGAGTGAATGTAAAATGTGTCTTGAATTGATGTCCATGTACAGGTGTTCACTAGAGAGAAATGTTCACTAAGACAGGTTTTACTGTAAATAAAAACACTATTTATATGTCAGAGAAATAATAGAACAAAAAATAACATCACAGATTTGGACTGTATAGTTATTCACCTGAAACCGTTTATTGTTGTTCATGAACATTAAAAATTAGGTTATGCCCATATACACCTAAATCTTGAATTACTGAACTTATTCTTTTTAGGCCAAGCTACAGAGAGGAGGTGTTCTTTTAAAGCAGGGCAAACTAGATGAGGCAAAGAAAGACTTTGATGATGTTGTAAGTACACATGTACGCTTTCTAATAGAGTTTTGATGATGCTGTAAGTACACATGTACTCTTTCTAATAAAGTTTTGATGATGTCGTAAGTACACATGTACTCTTTCTAATAAAGGTTTGATGATGTTGTAAGTACACATGTACTCTTTCTAATAAAGGTTTGATGATGTTGTAAGTACACATGTACTCTTTCTAATAAAATGGATTGCGTGAGTGTTGAATTTTTTTTTCTGGGTTCTAAAAATTTTCGGGTGAATTACCCTGTTCAGGTAATACTTTCAAAGTGAAACAGACTTTTGGTGAGCTAAAATCAAAAAGTAATGATAAAAACTGTTGTTTTTTCCAGTTGCTAGCAGACCCAGGAAACGCAGGAGCAAAGAATAACCTTGACAACATTGAGGCAGTGAAACTGATGATAAAAGAAGGAAAAGAGGCTTATGAAAACAATGACTTCCAACATGCAATAGATACACTACATACTCCAATTGATGTAAGTTATTTTTGAATTCCATTGATTATAAAACTTCATTTGAGAGTTTTAAAATGTTCAGCATCATAACTCTTAAATCACCTTTAATTGTGAGAGGGTAGTGTGACTAGCTGTAGGGCTTCAGGGTAGATCAAAACTATATTTACATTTTTGGTTTTTATGTCCACACTACAAGTGATGACATATTGTTAGTATCCAACTTTTTTGTGGATGGTGTTCGGTATTTGGCAATTAGTGTCTGTTACAAATGGCAGGTGGTGACATTTTGCAAGTTAATGCCTAGTTTGCCCAAGTGATTCAGAGTTCTTTTCAGCAGAACTTTCAGCATCATCTTTTTATTTTTCAGCTTTGCCCATGGTACGCTGAGTTGCGTGAGATCCGTGCGGAATGCTACATCGCCCAGGGTGACCTCTTCAAAGCTACGTCAGACATCAGAACAACAACCAAACTTATTAATGACAATACTGATGGCTATTATAAGCTTAGTAAACTCCATTATGACATGGGCGAGGCTGATGAATCTCTTATGTAAGTTCTTCACTCATTGGCTATTATGGCTATTATAAGCTCAGTAAACTCCATTATGATATGGGTGAGGCTGATGAATCTCTTATGTAAGTTTTTCACTCATTGGCTAATATAAGCTTAGTAAACTCCATTATGATATGGGCGAGGCTGATGAATCTCTTATGTAAGTTCTTCACTCATTGGCTATTATGGCTATTATAAGCTCAGTAAACTCCATTATGATATGGGCGAGGCTGATGAATCTCTTATGTAAGTTCTTCACTCATTGGCTATTATAAGCTTAGTAAACTCCATTATGATATGGGCGAGGCTGATGGATCTCTTATGTAAGTTCTTCACTCATTGGCTATTATGGCTATTATAAGCTTGGTAAACCCCATTATGATATGGGAGAAGCAGATGAATCTCTTATGTAAGTTCTTCACTCATTGGCTATTATGGCTATTATAAGCTTAGTAAACTCCATTATGATATGGGCGAGGCTGATGAATCTCTTATGTAAGTTACTCACTTATTGGCTATTATAAGCTTAGTAAACTCCATTATGATATGGGGGAGGCTGATGAATCTCTTATGTAAGTTCTTCACTCATTGGCTATTATAAGCTCAGTAAACTCTATTATGATATGGGCGAGGCTGATGCATCTCTTATGTAAGTTCTTCACTCATTGGCTATTATGGCTATTATAAGCTTGGTAAACCCCATTATGATATGGGAGAAGCAGATGAATCTCTTATGTAAGTTCTTCACTCATTGGCTATTATGGCTATTATAAGCTTAGTAAACTCCATTATGATATGGGCGAGGCTGATGAATCTCTTATGTAAGTTCTTCACTCATTGGCTATTATAAGCTTAGTAAACTCCATTATGACATGGGAGAGGCCGATGAATCTCTTATGTAAGTTCTTCACTCATTGGCTATTATGGCTATTATAAGCTTAGTAAACTCCATTATGACATGGGCGAGGCCGATGAATCTCTTATGTAAGTTCTTCACTCATTGGCTATAATGGCTATTATAAGCTCAGTAAACTCTATTATGATATGGGCGAGGCTGATGAATCTCTTATGTAAGTTCTTCACTCATTGGCTATTATGGCTATTATAACCTGAGTAAACTCCATTATGATATGGGCGAGGCTGATGAATCTCTTATGTAAGTTCTTCACTCATTGGCTATTATGGCTATTATAAGCTCAGTAAACTCCATTATGACATGGGCGAGGCCGATGAATCTCTTATGTAAGTTCTTCACTCATTGGCTATTATAAGCTTAGTAAACTCCATTATGATATGGGCGAGGCTGATGAATCTCTTATGTAAGTTCTTCACTCATTGGCTATTATGGCTATTATAAGCTCAGTAAACTCCATTATGACATGGGCGAGGCCGATGAATCTCTTATGTAAGTTCTTCACTCATTGGCTATTATAAGCTTAGTAAACTCTATTATGATATGGGCGAGGCTGATGCATCTCTTATGTAAGTTCTTCACTCATTGGCTATTATGGCTATTATAAGCTTAGTAAACTCCATTATGATATGGGCGAGGCCGATGAATCTCTTATGTAAGTTCTTCACTCATTGGCTATTATAAGCTTAGTAAACTCCATTATGATATGGGCGAGGCTGATGAATCTCTTATGTAAGTTCTTCACTCATTGGCTATTATGGCTATTATAAGCTTAGTAAACTCCATTATGATATGGGCGAGGCTGATGAATCTCTTATGTAAGTTCTTCACTCATTGGCTATTATGGCTATTATAAGCTCAGTAAACTCTATTATGATATGGGCGAGGCTGATGAATCTCTTATGTAAGTTCTTCACTCATTGGCTATTATGGCTATTATAAGCTCAGTAAACTCCATTATGATATGGGCGAGGCTGATGAATCTCTTATGTAAGTTCTTCACTCATTGGCTATTATGGCTATTATAAGCTCAGTAAACTCTATTATGATATGGGCGAGGCTGATGAATCTCTTATGTAAGTTCTTCACTCATTGGCTATTATGGCTATTATAAGCTCAGTAAACTCCATTATGATATGGGCGAGGCTGATGAATCTCTTATGTAAGTTCTTCACTCATTGGCTATTATGGCTATTATAAGCTCAGTAAACTCCATTATGATATGGGCGAGGCTGATGAATCTCTTATGTAAGTTACTCACTCATTGGCATATTCAAGATTCAGGCAGCCATGAATCACCCATACATTTGATGCTGTTCACTCGTATGACCATGGATTGCCAATATGTTTATGTTGAAAATAGACCGTGATTCCCAAAGTAATAGGAATGTTTTGCTTCATTTAAAAATGTCACTCTCACGCTGTCATAAAAATGTCAACTTGGAAAGTTTAAATTCTTCAAAAATATGTAAATTCGACACAGTCAGGCAAATGGTCCATACATTGGATGTGGCCAGGCAGCTATAAAATCACCCATATGTTTGACACTGTCAGATGACCCCATTTTCCCCATCCATCTGATGCAATCAGGCAACCATAATTTCCAATACATTTGATGCTGTATGATAGTATAATCATAGATAGCCCATACATTTCATGTTATAAATTGACCATGGATCACCTAGTAACAAGAACGTTTCTAGCATAAATTTTTAAGCTTAAGTTTTTCCGAGAGAATTTCAGCGAGCAAATCAAATTAAACCAGATCATTTCTTCATCATTCAATGAAATTGTCATTAAGTTGACATTACTTTATCTTCTGCAATAATGAATTTATCTTTTGTTTTCCAGACAAATCCGGGAATGTCTTAAGCTAGATCCAGACCACAAAGCTTGTTTCCCATTTTACAAAAAAGTGAAAAAACTTGTAAAACAAATGGACAGTATCCAGAATTTTAAAAATGAGCAGAGATGGGATGATTGCACTAGTAAAGCCAAGTCTATGTTACAAACAGAACCTGACGCCTTCCATTATGTTATGAGGGCTAAATCACATATGTGCCATTGTGAGTCTAAGGTGAGTTTTCATTGGTCTAGGTATATTACAATTTGTAAGATGCACTCTCATTGGTCTTGATATGTGCATATTTGTAAGGAGAGTTCTCATTGGTCTAGGTATATTACAATTTGTAAGAAGCACTCTCATTGGTCTTCATATGTGCATATTTGTAAGGAGAGTTCTCCTTGGTCTAGGTATATTACAATTTGTAAGATCCACTCTCATTGGTCTTAATATGTGCATATTTGTAAGGAGAGTTCTCATTGGTCTAGGTATATTACAATTTGTAAGAAGCACTCTCATTGGTCTTAATATGTGCATATTTGTAAGGAGAGTTCTCATTGGTTTAGCAAAACTAAGTCTATGTAACAAACAGAACCTAATGCCTTCCATTATGTTATGTGGACTGATTCTAAGTTTGACTTAGGGTGTAATACTATATACAATCAGAAAGAGCAAGCCACGGCTTTTGTAGAACGCAAACACACCAAAAAACAAGAAAAGTGTCAATGATGTTTTCACACTTTGTAATGATATTTTGTAGTTAAGAAATATAGACCAAAGACCAGAGGTATTATATTGATGAATAAATACCGCAGGGCGAGGCACAAACTTCAAGAGAATTTAGAGAGAAATAGAGTGAAATAGGCATCACCAGAAGAAATAAGAAATTTCATTTTTGATTTTTATACTTGTAGGCTGAACATATTAAAGAAGCTTTCGAGCATTGCAATGAAGTCCTAGGAATGGATGAAAACAACATAGAAACATTGTGTGATAGAGCTGAAGTTTATCTAGTTAATGAACAATACGATGAAGGTGAGTCATTTAGAGATTCAACTTTTTAACCAACCGGGTTCAATCTACAGGGGTCTGATAATTAGAGAAGGGTCGGTCATGGTTCGGTTCGATTAACCGTGGTTTTTGGCCCGAGAGGATGAACTGAGAATCGTACCAAATCGAACCGTGACCGACCCTTTTCTACTGATTATAGTTGGGGGACCTAGCGCTTCTGGCTCACATGGTGAGTGTCTGGAATCCCTAGCTGCCAACTAACCAAGTAGTCCAACCTACAAGATCTGATTTAATTGGGGGTATCTCCCTAGGAATTTCCAAGGGGGATGCGACTACATTTCATTTCAATTGAGTTATGATTATCTCACACAGACACCATAGGGCATACACGTGTGGTAGGATAATGTAACTTGATGTCTGAAGGTAGAAAAGCAGTTCCCCGTATTAATCTGACAGGAACTCGTATCTTTATCTTGGCTAGAACCATAAGCAGTTCAAGCCAGCACAGGCCTTTTATCGAGTTAGTATATTCATTTGAGTTACATATGATATCTCAAAAAGACACCATAGAGCATATACATGTGGTAGGATAATGTAACTTGATATCTTAAGGTAGAAAAGCAGTTCCCCGTATTAATCTGACAGGAACTCGTATCTTTATCCTGGCTAGAACCATAAGCAGTTCAAGCCAGCACAGGCCTTTTATCGAGTCAGTTGCACTGGTTACACCTAAAAAACAACAACAGAAAACAGTCGCCATCATCAAAGCTTGCTTGTACTGAAGCACATAGTTTTCTTATCTCCTATTAGCACCATGAATGAAATCCTCAGAGAATATTATCTCAAACAAAAATTTGGCTTAAAAAGGGCATGCAGCCACACCTGTGGGGATTAAAAGACTGTACTTATCCCAAAAACTGAATGACAAGTTCCTTTGCACACTTTGGATAGTTTTAATAAGATGAAATTCACAGTTTACTGACTTCATTTATGAGAAATACAACTTAAAATTTTTTTTATTGTTTTTTGTCTTATGTAAAATATGTTATTTATATTATATAATAATGAATTGCCATAATTTTGCTTTCATAGTTAAGTTAATTTCAAGAAAGTGAAAATCATAGTTCACTGATTTTATTTTGTGTATTTTTTTGTCTTATGTAAACTATGTTATTTATATTATATAATACTAAATTGCCATAATTTTGCTTTCATAGTTAAGTTAATTTCAAGAAAGTGAAAATCATAGTTCACTGATTTTATTTTGTGTATTTTTTTGTCTTATGTAAACTATGTTATTAATATTATATAATACTGAATTGCCATATTTTTGCTTTCATAGTTAAGTTAATTTCAAAAAGTGAAAATCATAGTTCACTGATTTTATTTTGTGTATTTTTTTGTCTTATGTAAACTATGTTATTTATATTATATAATAATGAATTGCCATAATTTTGCTTTCATAGTTAAGTTAATTTCAAGAAAGTGAAAATCATAGTTCACTGATTTTATTTTGTGTATTTTTTTGTCTTATGTAAACTATGTTATTAATATTATATAATGCTGAATTGCCATAATTTCGCTTTCATAGTTAAGTTAATTTCAAGAAAGTGAAAATCATAGTTCACTGATTTTATTTTGTGTCTTTTTTGTCTTATGTAAACTATGTTATTAATATTATATAATACTGAATTGCCATAATTTTGCTTTCATAGTTAAGTCAATTTCAAGAAAGGTAAAATCACGGTTCACTGATTTTATTTTGTGTATTTTTTTGTCTTATGTAAACTATGTTATTTATATTATATAATAATGAATTGCCATAATTTCGCTTTCATAGTTAAGTTAATTTCAAGAAAGTGATTTTATTTTGTGTATTTTTTTGTCTTATGTAAACTATGTTATTTATATTATATAATAATGAATTGCCATAATTTTGCTTTCATAGTTAAGTTAATTTCAAGAAAGTGAAAATCATAGTTCACTGATTTTATTTTGTGTATTTTTTTGTCTTATGTAAACTATGTTATTAATATTATATAATACTGAATTGCCATAATTTCGCTTTCATAGTTAAGTTAATTTCAAGAAAGTGAAAATCATAGTTCACTGATTTTATTTTGTGTCTTTTTTGTCTTATGTAAACTATGTTATTAATATTATATAATACTGAATTGCCATAATTTTGCTTTCATAGTTAAGTCAATTTCAAGAAAGTGAAAATCATGGTTCACTGATTTTATTTTGTGTATTTTTTTGTCTTATGTAAACTATGTTATTTATATTATATAATAATGAATTGCCATAATTTCGCTTTCATAGTTAAGTTAATTTCAAGAAAGTGATTTTATTTTGTGTATTTTTTTGTCTTATGTAAACTATGTTATTTATATTATATAATACTGAATTGCCATATGTTTGCTTTCAGCTATAAATGATTATGAAAAAGCCATAGATGTAGATAACAACAATAACAGAGCGAAAGAAGGGTTAGAAAGAGCCAAAAAATTACTCAAACAATCGCAAAAAAGAGATTATTATAAAATATTAGGCGTAAAAAGGTAAAAATAATTTCTTCATATAATAAGATATAGGGGGGGAGAAGAACAGGCTGATAAAATGGGAGTCAATGGGGCATAAATGATAGATTGGATTTTAATCATGTACATAGGAAGGTGAGGGCTTAGAGTCACAATGTTTGTGTGAAAACATGCCTTATTCAATTCTGAGAAAAGTCAGAAAGTTTTAGGTCAAGAGACCAACCACGAAAAAAGTTCCTTAGGACCATCATTGCCTTTCTCAAAACAACCAAATTAAGAGAGAAAGTAACAGTTTTTACAGGCACATATTCATTAACAAAACTGCATTTACCAATTCATTAACAAAACAGCATTTACCTATTCATTCATTCACCTTACTATCATACCCAATAATGAATAATTATATTTTCTCGTATTTTTCACTTTCAGAAATGCTAGGAAAAAGGAAATTATAAAAGCTTACAGAAAACTTGCCATGGAGTGGCATCCTGATAAATTTGAATCTGAAGAAGAGAAAAAGAAAGCAGAGAAAAAATTTATGGATATCGCATCCGCAAAGGAGGTACTCACAGATCCAGGTATGTCTCTCTGACTCGAGATGCATTTTCGTTTCAAATTTTAAAATGCATCTTAAAGAATGGGTATCGATATGGCGAACTTTTTGAACACACGTTTCTCTTAAACCAGTCATCAAAAATTTCTGAAAATCTTACAAATTGTCAATTTAATGGCCATCTTTTGAATGGTAACAATATAATTTGAAATAGATATACATACTTTCATCTATATTGTTTTAAAAAACACATCAAACACTTGTTTTGTTCTTGGTATCATGTTTCCAGAGTGAAATGAAACATCTTTCCGAACTTCATTGGAACAAAACAACATAAACACAACATGGATTTTGTTTTAATTTTTTGAATACTTTTTTAAAATCATCCAAAAATTCCTTTGTATAAATAATATTGAGAGGTCTAAAAACATGTTGTATATGCTATTTTGTTCCAACAAGGTTTGGAAAGACATTTTATAAAGGAGCAAAAACAATTGCACTAAACAAACAAAAAATGTTAACAAAAACAGTTACATAAAATATTTCTAAATAATTTTCGCATTAAATTGTTGTCAATTGAGTCAACATTACATAAAATACCATGTTTTTTTACAGAATGATTGGTTTAAGAGAAAAACATTGTTGAATTCAGTTCTCCATATCGATACCTATTCTTTAAAGTATTAGTCCAATTGAATAGTATTCACTGTATACAGTAAAATTTGTTTTAGTGAACACCTCCCTCTAGTGAACACCACTTCAAGACACATTTTACATTGACTCCTGTATAAATTCACCTCTCTGTAGTGAACACCTACCTCCAGTGAACACTTTTTGTGGCTCCATAGGTGCTCACTATATACAGGTTTTACAGTATGTAGTTATCTTCCTGTGTGGTCTATTGTATTTCTTCAGTTTAAATATTGAAGGGATTTACATTGTGATCTTTTATAAAGAAATAAATATATCTTAATTAAAAAGTAAAAAATATGACCCGATTCAATGTTATTATAACTGCAAATCAGTAATAAAAACAATTCTCATATTTTCTTCAGAAAAACGACAAAAGTTTGACAACGGTGAAGACCCCTTAGATGCAGAAGAACAAGCTCAAGGCAATAACCCATTCCATCAAGGCTTTAATCCATTCGGTGGCGGAGGGTTCTCCTTCAAGTTCCATTATTAACGACAGTCCATATTAGGAAATACACTAACATGTGATATTTATGCGATAATTACAGCTTATTTGAGAGACATCATAAACTTCCAGACGATCTTAGGAATATACACAGTCTTGTGTAGTTGAGCGATAAGTACGGCTCATGCAGACTTACGATATTTGTGCTACTTCTACAGATTAATACCCTAATATTAACAATCAGTATTTGGGCATCATACGATAGACATATGTGCACAGATTAAGGACTTACTGTTTTGGTTGTTAAGACTACGAAAATGAAGGATTCCAGTTAAGTTCAATTCATATTCAGGAAACAATACTCCACATAAAGGCTGTGTGTGTATTGTGTATAATATAATTGCAGCAGACCAGACATCCAAGACTAAATAGCACAAGCTTTTGCAATTCTTGGGAACTGGAAAGGGATTCCAGTAACACTGAATACTAAGAAACACATAAAAGTGACGCTTTAGTCATTCAGAAATACTAGTGACACTTTAAACACAAAGAAATACTAGTGGCACTTTAAACAAAAATAAGTTGTCTGGAATGATATAACGCTTTACATCAACATTCTGCAATTTTTTCAAAATATGTCTAAGATGAGTATACACTAGAAACTGCTAAGTGGGACACCTCTGTAAGTGGATCACCTCACAAGTGGAACACTTTTCTGTGGTCCCAAGGGCGTTCCACTTACACAGGTTCTACTGTATTTGTCCTAAGATTCCAGAGGTTGTGCCCATGATGCCATCAGATATATGCTTGGACTTTTATTTATTCATTCTGACTGACTAGAGACTGCAGACTTTATAGCCATTAGCTTCACATCAGCATCATCAGAGGTTTTATATAGGGAGGTTAAACTACATGTTTTTAAGATAACTTGTAGTATGTAAATGTCATATTATGATCCTCACAGATTACTTCCTACCTCTCAAATGGGTTTTCCAGGGACCTTATTAGTAATTGCAACTATTTTCTGTATACCTCTATACCCATTTGGGCGAGTAAATACTACAAAAGTGAAGCACTAATCCCTGGGGGATCATATCTTTATTCATAAGATCTCTTAAAAGTGTGTAGCTCAACCTCCCTAGTGATTTTTTTTTATTGTTCACCATTGTTAAAGGAACTAGTGCTTGATCTATTCAGCCTATCTCTATGAGATATAACTGAACACTATGTAATGTCAAATTTGTATGTTGCCACCGAGAAGTGTTGACATATTGTCATGGCAACCATCATAGCAACCGTTTGTTATAACTAGTGTTAAGCAAATTATTGATTTTCTGAAATATTTTACAATGTATTGACTACACACTGGTTTAGTTAATCTTTTGCTGATTCCACCATGTCTCTTTAAAAGGTGAATGAATTGACTCATTTTCTTGTATTTCTATACAATTTAGAGTGTTAACTACATGCCTGTTTATGTTATTCCTTGCTGATTTAATTCATTTCTCTCTAAAATTTGAATGAAATGTCTGATTTTCTTGCATTTCTATACAATTTAGAGTGTTCACTACATGCCTCTTTACTTTATTCCTTGCTGATTCCACTCATTTCTCTCTAAAATTTGAATGAAGTGTCTGATTTTCTTGCATTTCTATATAAATTAGAGTGTTGACTACATTCCTGTTTACTTTATTCCTTGCTGATTTCACTCATTTCTCTCTAAAATTTGAATGAAGTGTCTGATTTTCATGTATTTCTATACAATTTTTTTTTTTTTTTTTTTTTTTTTTTTTTTTTTTTTTTACAGCTGAAATCATGAATTTATTTTTTTTTTTTTTTTTTTTTTTTTTTATATATTTCAAAATCATTTTTACAATGAATGTTCAAAGAATTAACAATTAATAAAATAAGATCCCAGAGGATTGAAATTAGAAACACATGTCTTCTCCCGTAAACACAGTAAATCTCACTCCAGGAATTCCTGAAAAGTGCTTATTAAGTGTTTATACACAGAAGAAATATGTCAATCATATTTCACCCAGTAAAGATCTTATTTTGAAAAAGATGGAGTATACACAATAAGTCCAAATTTAGTCTGTTCCAAGGTTAGATAATCATATTTATGTGTCCTGTGGATTCTGGTCAACAGCCTGGGGTAGGGAAAGAACTTTGTCCGGGCCATCTTTAATGAACTCAAAGATATGATCATGTATCCATTTAAGTCCTTTCTGTTCACTGACACAGATGCTGTTAAGAAGTATTTCATGGGCAATGTCAATCCATTTTGCCTGAGGGTCTTTAAGTAATGTCCCTTGTATCTCAGATTCTTTCATGTCATGGGATATAATCACAATAAAGTCATCAAGATTAGCAATATATACATCTATGTTCTCATCTCCACGTTGTTGATGAGCTAGAAAGGTATCATGTATGACAGTGTTACGCTTACTGTCTTCTAAACGTGACTTTAGATCATCGCTGTTAAACGGTTCCTTACTAAGCTTGCTCTCAACAACTGTTGCTTTTATTAAGGTTTCATCTGTGTTTGTAGCAATATTCTGTGTGTGTATCCTTGCACTTACTGCTTTACTTTCAGTTTGAGTAATATCAGTTTGTTTATCTGTATTCGTAGAAATATTCCGTTTTCGTATCCTAGCACTTACTGCTTTACTTTCAGTTTGAGTAATGCTTGTTTGACTACAGGAATCATTTGACAAAATACTGTCTGTGTTGCTTGATCTATTCACTGTCTGACTTTTGTATCGAGAATTATTCATTTTGGTTGATAGACATTGGAGTTTAAGTTTTGGTTCAGTTTGTTTTTCGTCCAAACATTTCATTACATTATTGGTGGTCTGTGTGTTTAAATCCTCTCCAGATGGCTGTTTATCACTTTGAATTGATGCAGGTTCCATACATATTGTGTGTACTCCAACATTTTCATGTGTGTTTTGATATGGTCCCTCACTGGTTACACTAACTTGTTTTGGTATGAATGGCTTTGCTTTAGACCAGTCAGCTTCACTCAGAGGTGTTGAGGTATGATTGCCTGCTAATTTCCTATTGTTCTCAGTTTCATTATAAAACATAGTATTGTATTGCGAATCATTATCACAGCTGGATTGTTTTAAGTGAGAGTTGTTGAACTGGGTCATTCTAACTTGGTCTCTATGTGCTTGTTTTGTATTTTGCCTGACCTCTTGTCCAGTATATTCACCTGTTGTAAATCTCAAACTTATAGTTGTATATAATCCATTGCCTTGCATTTTATAGTTGTAAAACATCTGTCCTTGCAATTTTAGTAATTCCAATAAGTTCTCCACCACTTTAGGTAACATATCCATTATATTTTGAGAAATTATATCGTAGAATTAGTCACTTTTATGCTAAAAAATGACCAAATTTAGGAGTTCTAAAAATTGCCAACCTGTCCAGTAAGGGACCAACTCAACTTTTCATATATTTCTATACAATTTAGAGTGTTCACTACATGCCTCTTTACTTTATTCCTTGCTGATTCCACTCATTTCTCTCTAAAATTTGAATGAAGTGTCTAATTTTCTTGTATTTCTATACAATTTATAATGTTAACTACATGCCTCTTTACTTTATTCCTTGCTGATTCCACTCTTTTCCACTATATTTTACTTTTCAAAACATGGCCACCTTTTCCGATTTCTTGCATTTCTATACAATTAAGAGTGGTGTCAACTACATGCCTGTTTACTTTTCTTTTCTGATTTCACTTTATTTTGCATTTCAAAATACTGTAAAACCATGCAGTAATGTTAATTGCTAAATAGGGTTTTATTTTTCTACAATGTTCATTTGCAAAAAAAGCGTATTTTTACTTTCATTTGAAAGTAACGTACACCTTGCGATATTGTTTACTATTTTCATTTGTAAACATTTTCTGTTTTGTTATTTTGTATTTCAATTACTGTTATAAAAATGTGACTAACACGATGATAGAGGATAGCGTAAAGTAAGAAATATGTCTTGATTATAAACGCCAAGAATTCTAAAATTGATTAATATCAAACCAAATTAGTCACAATATATTTCAATTTTTCATGTTTATTTATTTCATCAACTCAAATGATTCATGTTTATTATCGCAAACTCGCGTTTGCTTCCACATCCATAATATTATAATTTCATATTTGCCAACACTTTCATCCTAGTATTCTTTTGCGTTTTTACATGTTAATTGACTGTAAAAGATATGCAACAGAAATATACATACGTGTTGCTCAATTTTATGATAATAGTATTTGTTCTGTTATGTTTCTGTATAAAAACTTTTGAATTTGATAGTAATGGTATCGTTTATTCAGTGCCCATCTATTTTTACCTACCATCGCTAGATTAAGAACGTGTTCTTTTAAAGCAAGCTAGCGAAACGCAAATTGAAGCATTTTTGCCGTGGCGTCATATCAATCTTTTCACAGCCAATATAATTCGACGCCGTTTCGGCATCGAACAAATTCGGCACCGCTCCAGCACCGTTTCGACACCGTTCCGGCACCGAAAACTTTCGACACCAAAATTTGCTACCGGACTAGTCAGTCCATTTGGTGCCGAAACGGCACCGAAATTTGGCACCGAAATTTGGCACCGAAACGGTGTCGAAAATCAGATTGCATCGTCGACGATGTAGTGAAATATTTTCACGGTGAACATTAAATTTATTTTATATTAAATGAAACACTCTACTATACCTTGCATTTGGCTTTCATGAGCAACCAATTTGGCTTATTAGTAATGATTATATGATTGTTTTTATTTGTCTGTTCCTTATTAATGGTTTATCGGTTGAAAGTTAGATGTTGATAAGGTACTTTCAAAAATATACTAAACAATCCAATTAGACAAACAAGTATCTTATGCATTTCTAGGTGTTAGGTATAGTAGTGTGATGAAAGTACGTGTACAGATGAAACTCTTCCGAAAAACAGACTGAAACATTTCATTCACTTTAAAAAATAAGCAAGGTTAGATGAGTCCCCTAATATTCTCAACTCAATATTGTCTTATATAAAAGATGCACATAAATTATACATATATACATGTAAAATAGACAAATACAGTTTTAAGCTGTTTTAATTGTTCGAATTCATAAACAAGTACAATATTTCTTTTTGGATTGAGATAAACGAGTGTATTTTAACTGCATAAAGATGTTTATAAATCATGCTGGCCTTTTCAATTTTAGGATTCGTTTTCAAAAGGATGCGTAAAGTGCTTGCTATTCATAGCGCCACAGAACATTTCGGTGATTTCACTTTCCTTCTTTGCTATGCCACTTAGTTTCACAGGATGTAGGAATGTAAGCGAACTGTTCAAAAATGACGAGAATATTAACCATGGCTTATCACGTGTTCCACCAAAGTCCCAGTTATATGCCGCCTTACCCATGTTGCTGTACTTTATTCCCAAGGAATGTTGTAGGGTCGGAACTGCAAGTTCAAGGAATATCTTATGGCTGTTAAAGACATCCAAAATGGGTATGGCTGTCTCAAAATGTTTCTTTGGTATGTAGTACATATCCGAGGCCTGCCATATCATTCTTTTGATGCCGAACAAATGTTTAGAGAGATCATCAAGAAATCTTTGAATTAGTTTGTTCGAGCTTTGTAATTGGTAAAGCTCATCAAATGCATTTTTGATATTTGTTTCATACATTTTGAAGTACATGCTTCGAGTGATGATTTCACATTTGCCTTGCAAGTTTGAATTGTTGCACGTTGAAATGTTACCATTTTCCACTGATGTGATTTCGTACGGATTGTTTTTCAATATGAATGGCTCCATCGGGTCAATTGTCGAGGTGTCTTCAACAACTTTTGCGAATTGTTCTACTGACTGGAAATTTATCGTGTTAAACCAAATCTCATCTAAAGGTAGCTTGGTGATTGCTTTGACTTTCATAAATGCGTCATCAGCGATAGTTAAGACCCCTTGCACTCTTAATCCCAGTTTCAGGACCTTCAGTAAACACTCATAGTTTGAACTACCCGATACATGATTAAGTGGGTTATTAAATGTTATAAAATTTATTTCCCACTCGTAAAGAATAGAATTGTGTGGCTTTTCTGGTCCACAATAAATAGTCTTTGCAAAATGACCATCATAAAGTGCTTCTAAGTATGGAATACTCTCATAAACTGGCGTGTTAAATATAACCAACAATAAAATTGGGTTTGGTTGTGTAGATGGCTTCTTAATGAGCTGTCTATATTTTGAGGAGTTAGACATGTAGCATGTGTCGTAGAGTAGGCGTTTGATCTTTGATTTTCTTTGTCCATTATAGATCAATTTTGGATTTGAAGGAAGCGACAAGGGGAAACGATTATCCGACTTCAGAGTTATCGAAAAGTCAACAGGTTCAACAAGTTGTTCTTTTTCAATAACCGGAAACTTGTATCCAATATTAGCAAGATCTTCTAACCATGCGCCAATCAGGCTAGCATCGGCAATTTCCCAAAATCCTTTGTGTGCCATAGCATCTGCTAGATTTTGAATACACAAAGAAAGGATATTTGATTCACATTTCCAACTAGATAAAAACTTTACAAGTTCGCCAGCTTGGTAGTACAGCTTTTCTTCTTGTTTTGCATCATCTATGTACGAGTGATAGTTCCGGAACTGGTAGCAATTCGGGGGCATATAACTTAAATGACCATCAATAAGCCAAAGAAGGGTCTGTGTGAAATAACTTCTCCATATATCAGTTACACGGGATGTCACGGCTACGGGGAGTATGAGGCCCCAGAATGCATCATAGCGGAATAAAGTATTCTGGGAATTCCATGGAACAAATGTGCCTTTTGGGTAAATCAATGGCGGCATAAAATCATCGTAAGTTAGGTTTAATAAATTTGAATTTGATTTGCGTGTTAGTCGATAGATGGCATCTACATCCGGGTCACCATGAACTGCTCCTTGTTGTATTAGGGCTGTGTTCCAGTGCACTGCATTGTACTCACTAGTAATATTGTCCCCGATGTTTTCTAAGGGATATCCTCTTGGCCATGTCGTTGGCTGCCCATAATAAGCATATGGGTTAAATAGTGTGGTGTTTGTTGATGGCACGACGCCAAACATCTTGTCAGTAGTTATGAAACCTTTCAGGCCATCGGTTGGATGGTTGTCATCATCTGTTTCATAAATAACTTTGGCTCCATGCTGAAAAAATCAAGACATTAAACACAGTGGCTGTACCAAATTAAGCGTGACAGTTAACCGTACAGGGTAGGATACAACACAAGGTTGATGAAATTTGATCAAACTGACGTTTCATTGTTTCAGAAAGATTTGGTCTAGTTTCTAGATATTTTTTTATATGTAAATGTTTGTAACAATGTCCTAGACAGTGAACTTTAAAGTGAATTTCATATAAACCTACACAAACTACGAATACAGAATATAGAATATGGTATAACGTGTGGGTCAATTAACCTGAGATACAGTTTAACGCAAATTTGAATTTCTTGTTTTGTTCATTTCTTTTACCCTGCGTTTTACCGTATTCTACATTCTGAGTTTTTGTTAGTTTAACCATGAAATTCCCTGTCTATGATGTTATTATAGACATTTACATTATAACAATATGTAGAAACTAGACCAGATCTTTCGGAAACGATGAAAATGCCAGTTTTCTCAAATTGCATATATAACCCTAGTTTTGTACCTTACCCTGCGCGTTTGACTGTCCCGCTTCATTTGGTACACACCCTGTGTTAAAGTGACAATCACATAATATCGTTGGCAGCGTTAAATGTAGCAAGTAATTCATGCAGAGAACTGAACTATACATTAGTTTTTATCAAATAAACTTAATGTACACGTAGATATTACAATTGAAATAGAGCCTATAAAACAATATTGAAAAGAATATTTAGTGCATATTTATGATAAAAAAGATACATACTGTGTTAGACAATTACACTGTTAAATTTTAATAAATGACCACTCCACAAACCACATTTTAAAAATGAAAAATTTAGCCTACACATTTTTCTTTAGTCAACCAGCCTTATTTCTAGGTCAAATTCAGTCCTGAACTATTTTTTAGGAATCATACACTGTGTATCTATCGGACAATATGTGTAACCGTGGTGATATCATAATACAGCGGCTGCGGCATTAGGGTAGAAGAATTTTGTTATTCCAATGTGGCAAAATATCAATAGGTATTGATATGATGTACTAAAACAGGCATCGTCAAGTATTAGGGAGTTTAAGCTTGCAATGCTTTTCACGACCTAAATGAGAACGGAAAATATTTCAGCGATGCATTTGTATGGGCAATTGGCCATACGTAAAGGTTGGCATTTCGATTTTATGCAAGCTTAAACTCTCTATTATCATAGTCATGTACATTCAAGTCAAAGGGTCCGCTTTTGCTTGTTTTTAAAGAACGTTTCTAATTGTAGCGACAATCCATATTGGTTTTTGAACATTACTTTAGGAATCTTATTACATTATTTCCCCATGAGAAACTTAGGTAGCAGCAGATTGTTGAATTAATGTTTAGCTTAATTATTTTTCTGTATTGATAATGTAATAACCCTCATGCTAGTACAGTCTCAATTGTAGTGGCAAATCCAATTCAACGTTATATACAGGGTGACCCAAAAAATGCAACCCTCCATTTCTTCAATATTTTTCTTAAATGGAGGTTAATTGCTCTGAAAGGCACACAAAGACTTCATTCAATGTGGGATCCTCTGGCAAATCCAATTCAACGTTACATATGACAATTGAAAATATAGCGTGTAGCAGGATCGCATACAGAGTTATTTCACATCTCAACATAATAGAAAATATTTCCATATTTCGAAATATAAAAAAACGATATGTCCTAATTGAATTGAACAGGGTAACGCCCAGACAGTTGACCATCAAAAGTGCTCGAATATGCTGTAAAGTAGGCTCTGGTAATGTTATTCAATTTTTGAGTCTACTTTCAATCGCTAGTGTCATACACGCATAAAACGCCATGGCGTACTCTCAAAAAGTGAAAAGTTGATTTTTATATTGAATTGCCCTACCTTTAAAATGGATAAAAATGGCCAATAATATGCATGATGTTAGTCCATATTACTTGGAATTTCTTGTTTTAAAACACCCCCAACGCCTCAAATGTAATATCATTTTAAAATTGTCTTTTGAGAGAAGCCCCCCCCCCAGCGCCCTTCAAAGCTCGTTCTCTTCACTCACTCATTGCGTACACTCAGAAAATACCCATGCTACGACACTGATTTTAGAGAATAATGCATAATTCACGGAAAGAGATATATATAACCTACCTGTATTGCATAAAGATATCCTATATTCTTGCGGGCGTAGCTAGAATATGGTATATGTTCGAGAATTTTGTAGCCAAGGGTTCTCTGTGCGTCTACACTAAGGAAAATAACCCCATCTAAACTGAAACAAGAATCGTTATATATATAATTTTGTCCTTTTTTGCTCGGAACTGGGCAAAAAAGATAGAAAAGGATAGATATAAATTAACTATATTTCACTTTATGTGTATTCACGCCTTCAATAAATTGTAAACAAAGTCAACATTTCACCCGGGGTATATTCGCGAACATTGCCCCTGGTAATACGTGTAATGTGTGACGTCATAATGGCGGACCATAATGAATATTCGAAACATTTTGGTGAGTTTTCATGTTCGAATCGTAATATAGACCTCAGAGCATGGGAAATATCGTCGAATACACCCCTTAGGGCTAGCCACAAAAGCTTTCGAACAGAAAACGTATGTGCCTAACCCTGCAGGATGTATTCGACAATATTATCCCTGTTTTTCGGTCTATATTTCTTAAATACAATTTATCGCTTTTTCGGTGAAACTGCGAAATTGTGAAACAGCTGCTGATTTTGGTTTAAAAGTCCTTCAACATTGACCAGAAAGGGAAATGATTGACAATGAGATGTATATTTTCAATTCACTATGTATATAACAAATTAAACAAGCATTGAATATGATATTTTCTTATATTTAAGAAATATAGACCGAAGAACAGGGGTAATATTGTCGAATACATCCTGCAGGGTTAGGCACATACGTTTTCTGTTCGAAAGCTTTTGTGGCTAGCCCTAAGGGGTGTATTCGACGAAAGTGCAATATTGGCCAATGGAGCATGTTGTTTAAAGTGCTGTAAAATTGTGACTATCAATTTGATGGTCATGAAATATGGTAGGCGGGTAGGAAATTGAATGATGTACAAATGTGCTAATTATCAGGGAGTAATTACCTAAAATGACAAAGATATGAGGAAAATGGCGACAGGGTTTCCATTTTTTTGACCACCCTGTACTATGATACCACTTCTTGGCAGTTCCTTCCAAATAATATAGTACTATAAACTGTATGAACACTAAAAAAATTATATAATTTTCTTTTTGATAAGTTGATTAAACCATACTTTTTTGATATCACGGTCTAAAGTAAGATATGTCGTATTGGGATTCATATTCATTGATCAAATGTCCATAGGGTATAACTAAAATCATGGCTAAAATCCAGAAAAATCACAGTATGCGAATTCAATATACTTTGCATGAATACCGAAGTCATGGTTAGTTGAGTGGTATTTTGAGAGACATATTGAACGCTTTTGCAAAGCTAAAGCTATGAGCATTGTATTATATCTAATTCGATCAGAATTTAGCTTTAAATTGATCTTTAATGAACATGAACAGGGTTCTCACCAGGAAATTTTTAGACCCCGGATTTTACTCCTCAACCATGTAAGATCAGAAATACCCTATTAGGCCTAGTATACTTTCAAAATACTACTATTTAGATTTATCTTCCTTTTTTAATCAAAATATACATTTCTAAAAGGTTTCTGACTTCCTATTCCTTGTTTTTATCCAGTTTTGTATGCAGTATTATTATAGAGTTTTATAGAGTTTTACCACAAATAATGTGACAAAAATAAGTACTTACTGCCAGTCTTTAGGAGTCTTTGTATCAGCAACAACCAGCAGCTGCCATTCAGTCAATTTTGCTAAACTTTTTATATCCTGTGTAGGAGATGCAATACTTGTAACAATTATCCATTTATTTGTATCTTTTATGGGACCTACATTATAAACTTCTTTTACTTCGTCTACTTCCTTCTTAGATTCCTCGATGTGAGATTCCTTATTGGTTTTAGACTTAAAATCAAATCTGCCGTTGAGACGAGACGTTTCCTTGGCAACATATGTTTTCTTGACATGGACTTCTTCATTATATCTTATAATTTCGTGATTTTGTTGATAATGAGAATAATACATAAAAAGAGAGACGCTAACAAAAGTTAGACCAACTAAAATCACCAGCATGTGTATTCCTTTCATTTTAGTACGACTGTTAGTACGACCCTTAATATAACATTTGTTAAAAGTATTTTCAATCTAGTACGACTGTTAGTACGACCCTTAATATAACATGTTAAGTATTTTCAACCGTTTACGAATAAGTTATTTTTAAATTCTGATTCACATCAATAAACACGGTGGTGATTGCCAACGTGAATACAAATGGGGACATGTGGTTTGATCAATTAGAAATCTTTTTAAAATAAAGGATGATTTCTTATTTTCGAATATTGCATGTCTTGTGAAAATAAGGAAATTAAAATGATAGCAGAATTTATTCATAAATGTAATATTACATCAAAGATTGTTATACATTTTAAATATTACTATACCATTGGTTTCTATGACAACTGAAATTTTGAAATGCATTTTTCTCTGAACCACTTTCACTTATATATTATGTTCCAACCAAAGTGGCATATTGCTATGGTCTCCGAAGAATATATATTATTACCACCTTGCTGGGCCAGTTCTAGGGGTTTTAGTGCTAGTGTAGAGGGCATTCATTTTACTTTATCGACCTGGGGTCATTCATCAAGCCATCGCAAGCACGTCGCAAGCCTGCGATGTCGCAAGGGCCCTTACGTCCTATTCATCAATCTCGTGCGACTGCGATCGGTAGAATTTCCTGCGACGTCGCAGTGAAATACCCCTATAATGGCCCAAAAAGCGACCGGTGGTACCCAGTCGCAGTGATTTAAGTTCAAGAAAAATGTCTTAAATTAATTGAATTTCTTTATGAAATTATATGAAAAATTCTAGGACGTACAGATCGATATTCGATCCATGATATATTAAAATTGCAGAACATATGCATTATGTTTAACATGTTTGTGATGCTATCAAAAACAGCTAGTTTTCGGCTTGTATTTTTAAGTACTTCACCGTGCGACCGGTCGCAGTGATTGTGCGTTACACGTGGTTTGAACCCACGTGGCTGTACCCACTCAGTATCCATCAATATCATATTGTCAATCTTGCATGACCTGTTTAATCGTCTATTAGCAGCGGTTATTCGTTCAAAATGGCGCAACTGATGATTGATTTCAACCGCAACACTTTAGAGATCGTACAGATCCTCTTCAAATATACGATGATGTGGACCTTATTTTGCGATATCGCATGCCTAGGTTAACCATTATAAAAGTTTACGAAATGATACAAGAGGATCTCGAAAGGATAACTAACAGGTGTACAAGCACGTGCACACTGCGACTAGTCGCAGGGACATCGCAGACTGCGATTTGTTAAGCCCGGTATACACCAATGGGGCAAGTTGGGACCTCCATAGAGTTAACATTGCGTGGGACCTCGTGGGACCTTTTGGGATTTTGCCCCATGAAGTCCGTGGGACTCCATGGGACTCCGTCGGATTTTGCCCCAACTTGCCCCATCGAGTCCCATGAGGTCCCATGAAGTCCCACGTGGGACTCGGTGGGACTGGATGGGGCAAGATGGGGCAAAATCCCACGGAGTCCCATGGAGTCCCATCGAGAATGAACATGTTCATTCTTTCCATGGGGCATCGTGGGATTTTCGATCATAAGACGTGTTGTGTGAAGCTCGACATACACCAATGGGGCACGGTGGGATTTGATGGGACTCCATGGGGCACGATGGGGCAAAGTCATCAAGGTCCCATGGGACTTCGTGGGATTCGATGGGGCAAATTGGGATTCGATGGGGCAAGATGGGACTCGATGGGGCAAGTGGGATTTTGCCCCATTGGTGTATACCGGGCTTTAATGAATAGGTCGCAGTCGCAGTCACTGCGACGTCGCACGGTGGTCGCAGTGTCTGCGATGTTGCAGTGAATTCGATAGCTTGATGAATGAGCCCTCTGAGCAAAATGTGACGTCATAGTAGTAGTCAATACTGCCGGTCAAGAATGCAATTCTCGACCGGCAATTTTCCCCGGGAAATTAGATATCGTTCAGTGCGTAAGATTTTCTTGCTGTTTCAGTCCTGGTCATTAACGGTGGTAATAATACTAATAACGTCATTTCTGTGGGCAATATAGTGAAATATTGGACCTTGGGCCTTCGGTCCAATATTTCACTATATTGCCCTTCGAAATGACGTTGTTGTACTAATGTTTTAAATAGTATTGTACCATTGGTTTCTAGTGAGAACTGAAATTTTGAAATCATTTTTCTCTGAATGACTCTCATTTATGGTCTCCAATTTTTTGAGGACGGTGTTCGATCTGTTACCATGGCAACAGATAAATTGACACAATTGACACTGAAGGTCAAAAATGTATTTTTGCGACTTAATTCAAATTGACCATCTTTCTTTCAAAATCATCTACTAGTTCTCAGAAGTTTAAATCTGACTTTAGATTTGAGATTTGACCCCTAATGGTTGACCATCAATGACCTTCTAAATCAACAAGTTGATTTTTCAACTAATCCAAAATTCAAATTGATCCAAAAAGTTATCTTTATCAAACAATACCTACTAAGGTCTGAAAATGAAAAAGTTCAATAGCCAACATATTTGTTCAGAAAAATAGCAATTATTTTTCATTTGTGCATTGCTTACATTTTAAATACTTTTGAAAACTAAACACACATAACTATCGAGGTATTTCAAATTCATCCAAGATCTTGTGAAAGTCATCCCTGCTCTCAGTGTTAATCCGCCAACACTTGTTTGAAAAATGCACTTGCAGATCATAAGTCCCAATATTAACCGTGCCATGACTGTTTTCATAGTGTTGCCCATGCACCTCGTGTCTCTTTTTCGCAAACTCACCCGGCAAAAGTTGAGCCTTTTTCGCAAATGCACCTGGAGTAGAATTATTTCGTCATTTAGAATTTCAGGTAATCAAAATATTTGTTTTCTTAATTTTTCAGTTAAGACTGATCACATTGTCTTTATAAAGATTAAGGAATTAAGGTATCAACGTCACAATGCATTTTGTGCGATGATCTTGGGTCTTATTGCTCATTAAGTGCAGTTTCATTTCGTTTCGTGTAAAAAAGTGGATTGGATCAGGAATTTACAAAAGCTGGAAATTATATAGACCATGTCATTTCTTTGCACTCGTTGATTACTTATATACGGAGATATGATTTATTCTTTTCATTTGTATTGCTTTTTTAACCACCAGATTTTTGAACAATTTAAATCTCAAAATCGAAATTGGAAATTGTTAACAGTATAATGTGGCATTATACAGTGACATACTGGTAATCATCTGGATATGACGGTGCATGTTGTTACATAGAATCAACTATAAAGAAATTCTATATTTTGTAAATTTCTGATCAAACCCGCTTTTTACATGGAACCAATCCACTTTGATCCAATCTATATTTTAATGCTTACTGGTGCAAACGATATTAAAAGGATATCCTATGATTTTGAGGAATAGGATTTTTATCTACGAGGTGATATTGATATCTTCACGAGAGAGCAAAGCGAACGAGTGCATATATATCAATATCACCGAGTAGATTAAAATGATTTTCTGAAAAAATCATAGGATATTCTCATTATCCTACACTTACTAGTAGCGTACTAAATATATAATATCATTGAAAGATGAATTTCATGCCAAATAGAGTCAATTTGGCGGAAATCAACAAGCGGAGTATATCGTCACAATATCCTCCGCATATTGGGTTTTCCGGAGTATATCGTCACGATATCCTCCGCATATTGGTTTTCTGGAGAATATCGTGGCGATGTCCTCCGGCAGTCTCCGGCCATTCATTCTGTCAATAGATATCATATTTATTATTTAATGTTATTATACATCATGGGCTTTCAACTGAAAGCCCATGTATACATTTAGCACACTAAGTGTAGGATAATCTTATTTCTTACCCATAATTCCATCGGCATTGGGAGATAAACCAGTTTTCTTGGTGAAGGAAAAACTTAACATATCCACTTTTCTTCTTATGGTGCCCTTAGATATGATGATCAGAAACGCTTCATCTTCAAAAAACACGTACAGATCATTACCCCTCTTTAACTTCAATTTCCCATCATGCAATTGTATGCTTGATACACCACTTCCGGTCCAAGGAAAGATAGCTTGCTTGCCATTGTCTTCTAGCATGATGCTATTTGGATCTATATGAAGCTGAGTCCTTCCTTTCCTTATCCACATTTTGCTGAAGTAATTCACAACCCCATTGTCCCGTTTGTGGATCTCTTCATGGCCAAAAGTGGATCTAATTTCTGGAAACGTAAAACTTGAAACTTTCAATGAATGGATATTGACGAATTGGAAAACAAGTACATGTAGCCCTGTTCCTCGGTTTTGATTGGTTTCGATGAGTCTGTGCCCTGGGAATACTAAACCACATATTCCAAGCTGTGCCATACAATAATTAATGGCCAATTGATGATTTGCGATCACCGAATGGATTCTGTCTTTTAGTGACGTCACAATTAGGTCACCCAGCTTGAGATGCTTGATTTTGAGAGATTATCTTCTATATTTCGTGCTTTATTGATTTATTTTTCACGAAAGCGTTCGATTTGACTAGATCAACATTCATGCTTAGCACATACCTATATATAGTCTAAGATCTTACGGACATGATTTAGATAGCGGTTAAGCGCCCCCCCCCGATTAAAACGGGGGGGGGGGGCGCTTATAGGCATCGATGTTTAGTATGAATTTCATTCAAACTTCGCACATATATCATCTAGTCAAATCGGCATACTTGGTAAATATCCGACCCATGGTTTTCATAAAAGAAACGACAATATTTTTAGCTCAAAACTACCACGTGTCCGCCATTTCGTGATTCCATCATGTCTAATATCATTTCTCTATGACGTCACACCAATAAGACGAAATACATGACAACAGTATCCATAAACAAAATTCCTGAATTCTGATCGCAAAAGGTCAATTCCTAATTCTTTATTCAAAACAACAATAAGAACTGGAAGCTAATTCGTTTAAATGATCAAAATATGACCCACATTTTCAAATGACTATCACTAAGTACACGTATATGAAACCACATCAAACGCCGAATCAAAGTCGAATCGAAATCAAACAACTATAAAAAAGGTAAAAAAAGGAGAGATTAAACAACACGTTTTTAGGATTAGTTGTCCCCTTCGTAGTATTACCCGATTGATTATAAAGCTATAAGGAAAATACTTGTAATTAGGTGCCTGGAGATAAGCAATTGCGAGGGAACAGTAATCCTGGGGATCATAATAGAGAGATTTCGCAACTCACTTATAGCATGATAAATGTGATGTACATGTACTTATAAATTGTCGTCTACGTAAGAATAATCACACTAAGGATGACTTCTTGTAATTAATTAGGTGAGTAATCCTGGGGATCATAATAGAGAGATTTCGCAACTCACTTATAGCATGTTTATTATTCCCGTGTGCAGTTTAACTTATGAATCATTTGATTACGTCATCATTGATTGCGCAATGTGATAAGTGTGATGTACTTATAAATTGTCGTCTACGTAAGAATAATCACACTAGTGGATGTATAGAGCTGCGCAATAAGTGATGACGTAATCAAACGCTTCATAAGTTATACGGGAATAACAAACATGTTATACGTGAGTTGATGAACATGCCAGGCTGACTTCTATTATAAGTAAATACGGTAACCCTTGTGATTTAAAGAGCGTTGTATTCGGCTATCACGAACATATAACTGAAAATGACATGATCAAAATAGGTGAAATTGTTCTCCAAATGAGTATAAAAAGAGCTCGTTTAATGCGAGCGTACACTGGTAACCAGATGTAAAAGGGAGACCAAAAACACTTTCTGTAAATAGTTTCAACTTTATTATGTACATGTATATATGTTGTAAATGATAAAACTACTCTGTTTAACTACAGGTTAATAAATTAATAATAATAAAAGAGTATTACCTAGGTTGCCATCTTTTACAAATAAGTATGAATGATCCATTTTTCCAACAAACTCGAAGCATATGGGATATTTCCTTTTCGCGCCATTTATGTACAGTCTAATATGTGGATCCCCGCAAACTTTAATTCCGTCTTCGTTCTCATTGCAAAATGGGAGGAAGCTGTTGTCATGGCAATCAGAGTGGTCCTTGCACGTTTTTGGAGTTGTTGCTATGGAAATGATGTTGAGCACGTATTAATGACCGCAAGTTATTACGGGCTTATATAATCATTCTTTCTGTCGATTTGGCAATATGCGGAGATATTGTGACGACAAACTCCGTTTGTTGATTTTCAGCCTTATTGAACTATTTGACATGAAATTCATTTTTCAATGATATTATACATTCAGTACACTACTAGTAAGTGTAGGATAATAAGAACATCCAATGATTTTTTCAGAATATCGTTTTAATCTACTCGGTGATATTGATATATGCACTCGTTCGCTTCGCTCTCTCGTTCAGATATGAATATCACCTCGTAGATAAAAATGATATTTCTCAGAATCATAGGATATCCTATAAATATCAGCCCCATGTGCGGCTGATATCATTCTTCAACCGCATATCTGTATGATAAACGAATTGGAATTTTTGATTTTTTAAATCTTTTGATTGTAATCATGGAATGAACCCAATATCAGATTATTTCTCGTGATATCATTTTATTGCCTCGTAGTTAACAAAACTCATTCGCTTTGCTCACACGTATTGATATTCTATTAACTCGTCGATAAAGATGATATCACTCGTGGAAGAAAATCTTATGTAATTGAATAGGTCTACTAACTTGTAGTTGTAAGTTCTGCAGGTATAACTGGTTCTTCTGTTGTCGTGGATGGAGGTTCTGTAGTACTCGTTGTCGTAGTTGGGGGTTCTGTTGTACTTGTTGTCGTAGTTGGTGGTTCTGTAGTACTTGTCGTAGTTGATGGTTCTGTTGAGGTTGTTGTCGTAGTTGGGAGTTCTGTAGTACTTGTCGTAGTTGATGGTTCTGTTGTACTTGTTGTCGTAGTTGGGGGTTCTGTAGTACTTGTCGTAGTTGATGGTTCTGTTGTACTTGTTGTCGTAGTTGGAGGTTGGGTAGTACTTGTTGACGTAGTTGGTGGTTCTGTAGTACTTGTCGTAGTTGGGGGTTCTGTAGTACTTGCTGTCGTAGTTGGTGGTTCTGTTGTACTCGTTGTCGTAGTTGGTGGTTCTGTTGTACTTGTTGTCGTAGTTGGTGCTTCTGTTGTACTTGTTGTCGAAGTTGGGGGTTCTGTAGTACTTGTTGTCGTAGTTGTTGTCGTAGTTGAAGGTTGGGTAGTAGTTGTTGTTGTCGTAGTTGTTGTTGCTATATGTTAATTTGAAGATGTTAAAGATGAGAATGTAACGGCAACAATAAAATATCACATATGATTATAATTAATTTATACATAATCAATCTGATAATACAATACTAGTTATACGAGTATATTCGGTAATGCCTACTGCCTAAACATAACACAATAACCCGAGTATATTCGGGGATACCTAAGGCCTAAACATAATGTAATAATACGAGTATATTCGGGAATACCTACGGTCTAAACATAATACGAGTTATATTCGGGGATACATACGGCCTAAATATGATGCAATAATGCGAGTATATTCGGGAATACATACGGTCTAAACATATGACTCTAAACTTAGAGTCCTCTTCCCAACCAGATGCACCAAATCTTTCCCAAGTAGGAACTATATCTGTAGGGCTCATGGCTATACTAGATGCAAGCGCATAAATTGAAGTATCCCCAATTTTTTGACCAATATTCCAGCGTTTATACGTTGCAAGGTAATACATGTAAAAGTTGGCATTATCATGTTTATAGGCTGGCCGTTCGTCATTCAGCTCTGAAGTTTTTGACCAGGTTCCTTCAAAAGACGAGGCAGAAGATGTAACTCCTATTGACTCGCACGTTGAACTACCTGGAAAAAGACCACAAAAAGCTTCATTATAATACAGGTTTTTCTAGCACACTATCACGCGGTCTTAAATTCGATCGTTAATTTGAATTTTTGACCTACCAGGTGCTTGAAAATCAAGGATTGCGAGTCTCATACTGCACCGTTTTTCGTCAAACTTATACCATTAAAATCAGAACAAAATTGCCTTTTTGTCGGTGCATTACTTTATTGTAAAGAGTCACTCGTTCTAGCAGCGTTTTGGTCCCCAGCTGTTAGAAGGCCTTCTTACAGCTGGGGACCAAAATGCCGCTGGAAGTAGGGACTCTGTTAAAAATTCCCAAACTTGACCATTCCCCGCGATTTAACGTCTACATGTATGTTATCATTTTCTGTCGAATGCCCATTGTAAACACCATGTTGAATTCCCAATATCGTTGAATAGCTAGCTTTTTTTAATTCAAAATATCTGGTTAAAATACAGAAATAATATACATCTAAAGATGGCGCCTAATGAAATACAGATTTTCCTTAATTTATTTTACTATAATCATTTAATAATTTTTGGTTTATTCGATGGTCTTGTACATGTCATATTGATTGATTGTGCCCTCGTTGGTAACAGCGGCTCAACTCATTGATAATTCTCAGTATTCTTAGTATTTTGCTCTGGTAAGATATTTCATGAATAACGTACGTTTTAAACAAGTAAAACCGACTCCCGTCATGGGCGCCCAACCATTAGCACCGAAGCCCTCTGGCGTTACAGTTAGTTCTTGTGGATAAACGACGGATTGTTTAAACGTTACTCCACGCGAATCAGAACCTATCATAGTTCCAATATACCAATCGCCATATTCTGTGTAGTATAAGAAGTTTGTATTCCCGATGGTCGCATAAACTGGTCGGTTTTTGTATTCATCAACTTGTAATTTATAGAGACCAAGTCTTCCTTTTTGGGGAACATCACCAGAATCCCCATTTATGGATAGGAATATTTCGTCACATGGTGGCTGCTTATCTAAAATTAATATGTTCATTAGTTGTTCAAGTCATGAAAAGTAACAATTGAATAATTATAAAAACTATGTGTTCAAACTTTACACGAGACCTTTTACACAGGAGCAAAAAATGTCGATTTTGCCTCCTTCGCCCCTTGCATTATGGGCTTGTACATCCAGTGACACGCATTTTTTTAAATTTCAAAGATAAAATGAAGCAGGATTCTTTATTATTTATAAATAATAAAAATATAAACGAAATAAACACTTCGTCAAAGTACAAATTATTAGCTTTTAGACTTCATAGCTACAGGACATTTGTGCTTAAAATTATTTAGCCCTGGCCATAATCTCCTAAATATAATATACTGATGCTGTTTGATTTGATAATACGTACAAGAAGAAGTTACCTGAAGGCTCTACGCACTGAAGTGTCACGTCTTTCTCTATCCAGTTTTGCCAGTCAACTGTTTCTTCCCATTTCTCAGTTGGACTGATGTCACTAGGGACAAGTGCAGACGTTGAGACTCGCATTTCCCTTGTGAAACTAGTCAGGCCTTTTCCCATAGCCCAAAACTTGGATGTGGTATCAACTACAGCACGGTAGAGAAAGCGTTCACCGAACTCATGAACATACAGAGGGTACTTTTGGTGCAAGGATCCCTCAAGCCTGTAGAATCCCATGTTACCACGTCTGAAGTCCGAATCACTACCGTCCAAAAATAATCTCGCACATGGTTTTGGTCCAAAGTAACATTCGAACTTGACATTTTCCGTGCCTACAGTCCATGTATTTGGAATAAGTGTAAGATCAATTTCTGTTGAACCGAAGTCATATGTTAACTGTCCAGCCGACGTATTGATTATCCAACCAACACCCTCTTTATATACAGAGATAGTTGTGTCTTCTACATTGGTATACACGCCATCTTCACCTCTAGTATACATGCCATTTAGGGCTGCATTCTCACCAGTGTTGTCAAGCCCGCTTGCCCAAATGGTGTTACACAACTGTGATTCCTCTAACGCAAGATTTCCTTCCTCTACCCACTGGTCACCATCAAAGCACTCGAGATTACCTGTCTCTCTATTAACTTTAATACCAATGTCATCTCCGCCAATTTCAGGCCCAACGACCCAGGCGTTATTCTTGAAATAAAGAAATTCAGACTCGGCCATGTGCTTGTAGACTGGGTAACCATTGTAGCGAATACTTTCTCGGATAATGTATATGCCTTCCCTCCATTTCTGATTTGGGCATATCCCGATACCACTCAGTTCAAGCTTTGGAATATCTTCGACATTGCTACCTACAAATGTGAATCATATACAGTTGTAAAAGGCTAAAAGCTTAGGAGAAACCATTTTAACTAGTTTTTGCAATGTTTTGTTCCTTTAAAAACTGAATTCCTATTGAATTTACCTTCAATTAGTTTATACCCTAACTTGAAGCCAGTATCAAAAGATGGCGTATCACTTTCAGATCTAGCGTTTGTTCTGAATAGAACCATCATCTGTCCATACATTGAATCGATCACGGCAGATGGGGCCTCGCTGCCACAGAATCTAGAATTATATTTGCATTTAGATTAGTACGATACGTTCGTTTGAATACCGTACAAAGAATACCGTATAAGAAATAGCGTACTAAAAATACCGTATACTGAATACCGTATAAGAAATACCGTATAATGAATAACGTATTAGGAATACCGTACAAGGAATACCGTATTAGGAATACCTTATAAGGAATACTATATAAGGAATGCCGTTATAGGAATACCGTTTAAGGAATACTATATAGAGAATACCATATTAGGAATACCGTATAAGGAATACCAAATAAGGAATACCGTATAAGGAATACCAAATAAGGAATACCGTACAAGGAATACCGTATTAGGAATACCTTATAAGGAATACTATATAAGGAATGCCGTTATAGGAATACCGTTTAAGGAATACTATATAGAGAATACCATATTAGGAATACCGTATAAGGAATACCAAATAAGGAATACCGTATAAGGAATACCAAATAAGAAATACAGTACAAGGAATACCGTATAAAAACATCGCATACGGAATACCGTAGAAGAAATAATGGAGAAAGAGTACCATATAAGAAAAAACGCATAATAAATACCTTGGTCCAACGTAGTTAGGACTCGCATAACGGACTTCAACCCAGTCCATTGAACATACGTCACCAACGCTATGGTCTATACCAAAGGCATCTACAAATCGCACCTGGACCTGGCTTCCTGGTGGTGCCTGTGCACAAGCAAAGTTGATTACTTTGGCGGGATAACGCACTCTCTTTTCTACGTTTCCGGTTATACGTCTGTTTATATTAAGCTATGTAGGCATCTTACAGTCAAAGTCACATTCAAACCAATGTGTTAAGGGGGGGGGGGGGGGGGTAAGAATTAAATTTAAACCCACTCTGGTGCCTGACAGTATCTGAGAACCATATTTGCACCATTCAGAAACAGTTTATTGGAAAAAACTGGACAGAAGAAGACGAAACAGTTCAATTAGTGAGTCTATTGAAGGGTTTGCCCAAGGCTGAATGATTTCTTTTAGCTACAGGGTGTTCAAGAAGTACAAGGGAACACAGTAATTTTAAGAGATTTGCGTTTTAAGGTTAAGTTACTGGGGATGAAAATCACAATCTCTAAAAAGTATTTTTTCTGTGAGGGGGGATGTCTTACTTTTAGTAGCCAAGTACACGCACTGTCTTTGGTATATGGACCCGTTCCATAATCAGGGTTCGATAAGAATTCTTCTGTAGTTGTTACATCGATCTCACCGCCACAGCTTTCTAGCGATAGAGTATAAAAATAATGTCTATAGTCTTTATAGTATAGGTCTTTATGGCTATACGAAGTTTAACCTTTTAACCCAGCCAAGTTTTTAGAGTGAAAGTAAAACATACAGGCATGGGTGTATAACATCTGTTTTATTTCTTAGAAGCATCGTTGTGGCTAATTTTAGTAAAGATGGATCTTTCAAAATTTTCAGAAAATGTAAATTGTGACAGTCTTTATATATGTTTACAAGATTTCCTCAAAATTATACCGAGATAAACCTCGAACAGTTTTGTGAATAATGAAAAAAATACTCTGACCATTTTACAAAAAAACTGGTCATCTTATTGACAATTAACGTTTCAAATGGTAACTTAAACAGATTTCAGTGCGATCACTCTTTTTTTCCAAAATTGTTATATTACTTATAGAATATACTATATTATTACATAATACTACTGTTTTCCCAGGGAAATATGAAGGAATAAAAATCGTATTGAATCGTATTACATGAAAAAATCGTATTGTTCCTGGGAAACAATCTCGTTGGACATTTATGTTACAATTATGTTAATAAACTAAAATTCAACTTCAAACAATGTGCATTTATTAATATAATATTTCCATTTAATTAAATAATTATCCAAATGTAACATTTTATAGGGATGTGTTATGGACTAAAGAGGTTATTTTTGGTAGAGATTGGATATGATATTGACCTTGCATATGATATCGACACTCGGTCGCTAGGCTCCTTCGGTCAATATCATATTACCTTTCGGTCAATATCATATTGTCCCTCGGAATAAAACCCATATTCAATCCCTCCCAGTAAATAATCTATATATTTTGAGAGATATCATTTATCCACGAGTTGACATCAATATGTGGACGAGTGGGCGTAGCGTAGCGTCTCTCAACTATGGAATAAAAATGGATAATGTTTACCTAAAATTGGTGGAGAGATGACGTCACACATGTCTCCGCTCCATCCATCCGGGCATCTACAGACTGGGCAGTCATTGGGATCTCTGTACCCTCCATGTAGACAGTCTTTCCAGTATAACGATGAATAGCCGGGACATTCAGCTAATCAAATAACACGAATACCAGATATTCACATTGATAATGTCTTCAAATCATTTTCAGATTTGGATTCCTTACTTCAATTTACTTGATTAGTCAGTGAAAAAATAAAGAAAACAGATTGTGACATTCACTATTTGTTGATATCATGACGGGACATGAAGTTGATCTTATACATGATAATTCTATACATATTAATTCTATACAAGTTAATCCTAAACAAGGTAATTCTATGCATGTTAATTCTATGTTAATATTATGCATGTTAATTCTATTCTGTTAATATTATGCATGTTAATTCCATCCATGTTAAAATTATGCATGTTGATTTTATACATGTTAATATTATGCATGTTAATTCTATATGTACATGTTAATATTATGCATGTTGATTTTATACATGTTAATATTATGCATGTTAATTCTATATGTACATGTTAATATTATGCATGTTGATTCTATACATGTTAATATAATGCATGTTGATTTTATACATGTTAATATTATGCATGTTAATTATATATCTATTAATTCTATACTTTACCACTACAGTAATGAATGTTAAACAGCTTTGCGTCTAAGAAGGACAACCCAGCGTCATTACCCATGACGCCGTTGTACAAAGGATTAACAGCGTCCATCGTTGGATTTTCTTTGGTACTTGTTATAGAAAATGTCTAAATGTGAAGGATAAGTAAATGTCAAATGACTGTGGCGTTTCTCAGTAATTACAAAGACTATTGGAAATTGAATTCAAGAAAATGATTGTGAAAACCAAAGTTCTACTAACCAAAGAATGCACACAAATAAGTAGGTTAACTTTCAAAATCACTTCATTTAAACTTCAGAAGCTATTAAATTTGAAGTTCCGAACTCGTCGTTCGAACAATTTACACCCCCCATATGTTTAAAAATAGTTTTCTTTGGATAACAAACGTATCAATGTCGGAATTTTAATTTTGTTCATTAGTTGATAATGTTTGTGGAAATTGACACTTTGATTACACTCCAGTCACATTTGATCTACGGAAACCGTACGACGGCCGTAGCTTCCCAAAAACGAGAGAAATATGCAGCATGATAAGCAGTTCGATGTCGATTTTCTATATCGATTTTGTGAATCTGCACCCGCCGTACAACCGCCGTAGAGCAAAAGTGACTGAGGCTAAAACGTAAACACCAGGCTTTAATATGATCTTCAAAAGGACACTTCGGTTATGGCTTTAATATATATAGGCTTTAATATGATATTCAAAAGGACACTTCGGTTATGGCTTTAATATATATAGGCTTTAATATGATCTTCAAAAGGACACTTCGGTTATGGCTTTAATATATATAGGCTTTAATATGATATTCAAAAGGACACTTCGGTTTGTGGAGGGGGTGCCTCTCACCTGTGGACTATAATGCATCACAGAAGCATAATCGTACTCCAAATTATAAAGAATAAAATTGTCCCATGTGTCTTTAGCATAATTTGCTTCAAACTTGCTAGTCTGTATATTGTTATTATACAAAATCACGTAAGAGTCTCGATCCGGACGTGTCTGGGTATGGTAGAACCCCAAAGCGTGACCCACTTCGTGAACTATCACGCCCATCTGTAAATATATAATACACATGTACATAATGAAAACCCATTGCGTCGTACATTACGGGTGATTATATAGTATTACTTGATAAGTTAGTACTTTAATCTAAATTAACAATCAGATTTTATTTTGGACAGAATGAGATTTGCGAAAACTTTATGTTAATCAGTTAGTCAGGTTTTGCCGTATATCCCAAGAGTGTGGGTTCGAACCTCGTCGGTAACATATCTTATTTTATTCATTTATCTATTTATTTATTTTCATTTGCTTAATCTCTTTTTATATGAATAATCTAGCAAGACATTATTTGGCAATTTGAATCTTTAGATACAATCACGCGGTGCTAACTTGAATTTTTGATCTACCGGATGTTTGAAAATCAAGGATTACGAGTCTCGTAGTGCACCGTTTTTCTTCAAACTTGTTCCATTCAAAGCATAACAAAAATCCCTTTCTGTTGGTACATTATTCTCCTAAACAGAGTCCCTACTTCCAGCGGCATTTTGGTCCCCAGCTGTAAGAAGGCCTTCTTACAGCTGGGGACCAAAACGCTGCTAGAACGAGGGACTCTTTAAAATAAAGTAATGCACCGACAGAAAGGCAATTTTGTTTTGCTTTTAATGGTATAAGTTTGAAGAAAAACGGTGCAGTGTGAGACTCACAATCCTTGATTTTCGAGCATCTGGTAGGTCAAAGATTCAAATTAACGGTCGAAGTTAGGACCGCTTGACAATGGAATAATACTATTTCCCAGTGATTCATAGAATTTAGATTTAATTTTTTATAAAGATCCAGACGGGGAATTTTCATGAATATTACTATTATTCCGAAAGATAATCACTTTTTCGCGTTGTGAGATTTTTAAAGGCCCCGTATAAGTTTGAAAATATGTTTTTATCATTCATTTACTATCACTACTATATCATGTGGAGGGAAGAAAGACACTGAACTGAACCAAACGGTCAATAATGTTTTTAATTTCCACATATTTTTTTATACATCAGTATATTTTTACGGTCTGCATTGTGAAAAGCACAATCGACAAATGAGTTGGCCAGAAAATCAAATCGTCCAGTCGCGATCTACAGTTGAATAATCGAATTCAAGCGAATAGTCTCCACAGACTCGCCTTGACGAACAAAAATATATGGCTAAGTATACAATGTAGAGTATGGTGCTTTTTGCAATACTAAAGAAAGGTCTAACCTGGTTACAACGTCCATTTTCCAAAGATATCTCATTACCATCATTGTCAAGTACCATACCAACTGACGAGACGCATCTAAAATATTAGCATATGATTTAAAATTGTTTGTTCTCTTTTGTTTTCAAAGGAAGTATACACTACCGTGCCCATTGTCTCATGTATAAACGTATGTTAATAATAAGCCGTAAACCCCATATAGGTAGCAACACAATGGGATAAAATGTGTTTCATTAAAAGATCTACTTTACAGTTGGCAAGTTATCAAACACTTACGGCCCCTGGCCATTAATTTACCTTATAGCCAGTACTCATAGTTTATACATTACACACATTTCCGAATTATTGTAATAAGGAACAGAATTATCTGTAAGATCTAGATACTGAAATGATTCGATATGCTATCCTATAAATATTGCCGGATGCCAAACTGGTCGAATGAAGTGTGTATCATCTTACAATACATTAACGATTATCGGAATAAAATTATTTGAAATATATACAAACGATGACACCTCATTTTTGACCATTGACGTGATTTAAGGACTCAGTGCATTGTTTGCTGAATCATATCATGAAGGTGTTGTTTTCAAACCTTTGCATGATCGCGCAGCGGGAATGCAAAGTTTAGGAAACAACGCCTGAGTGGAATGAAGCAGCTACAATGCATCGAGTCTTGGGCTTAAATTCTTTTCACACATTGCAATTTTTTCTACAAAATCATCCAAAAGGAACGAAATCACTCAAAGAACACATCTTCAATGAATTTTTTTGCAAGTAGCCTATAGGGTCAAGTTGGCAAGTCATCAAATCCAATGTAAAAAGTCCATTCATCACCATGACAGCTGTTTAACTAGTGACCTTGCATGTATTATCGATATTTCACACACTAGCACCTTGCCTAGCTATGTGTGAAAAATAAATTAAGCCTGTATATTTAAGATATGCATTTTTATTAAAAGTGTAAGTTTCTTTTTGTCATAGTCACGTTTGAGTTAATCCATGACTAGTCTATGTACACAAAACATTGTACAGGGTATCCATGAAAAAAGATACCCACCCATTCAAAAGGTTGACCACTAGAAACCTGGGTAACGTTTCCGAAATACAATAATCATTAAGGTACCATTTGATGGAGGACAATCTAATTATATTAAGCTTTTTACTGTTACCTTTGTATTTCGGAAATATTGCTTAGGATTCTATTAATCTACTTTTGGTATCGTTTCTATGGACACCCTGTAGAAGCAAAAAACGCAATCAACGACGTGGACATTTAGCATGTAACAAATGTGTTGTACTACTATAATTACAAATATAATGAGAAATAAGCGTGCTATAGATAATCACATTGAAACGGGCATTCAGTACATGTTGCAGTATGACTTTCTCCAATATTTTCAAAATCAAATATGAAATCTTCGTGGTTAGAATTAATAACTGATTTGACAAGGTCATATGGTAAATGTTTATGGATTGTTTTGCATTCAAGGTCCCGAATGTTGTTTCTCGTTGATCTCAGCTGCAATATCTTACCCGGTTTTTGAAGTAAAGGTTATTCCCGGTGATGTCGTCATGGAAACCTCTCGAAACGAGGCACATGTTTTCTCTTCCCAGTGATCCAGACTATCACGGATCATCTCTTTTTTGCTGTTTGGAGAAACTACAGAGGATAAAAAGAAGGGTAAACGAACAGACAAGAAAGTATTTCAAAATACAGTATCAATGTCAAGAGCGAATCCAAATCCTCAATATCACTTGTGATCCACTCGACTATGCTGGTTACCGAAACGGTTCGTTATAGTAGCAAAATGTCGGAACTTCCAAGGTTCGACTTTCCTTTTTACCTTATTTCACGCGTTGTAGGTATGATTACTACGACATTTTTATCACAAACTCGTGTCAGTTTCATATGTTTAAAAATGTGTACATGATTGCAAACAAATAGTTCGGAAGACAACAGAATCGAGTGTACTCAATCAGTGATGCAATCTGTAAGGTGTACCCCTACCCCAAAGAGATTTCAAGAAATCTCAAAACCAAACTTTTCGAATCTTGCTGAAAAGACCTGTGTCGATATGGATTGACCAGCCTATACCAGCCTGTGTAGATAAGTTCTCTATATCTCCAACACTGTGGTATGTTGCACCGGGCCTGGATACAAACCGTTAATAATGTAAATAGTAAAATGTTATAATGGCCATAAATGGGAATTTGTCTCACTGACAGTATTATTTCTCAAAGCTCATTCTCTCAAATCAGGAAATAGGGTGATGAGCAGTGAAATTTTGAGAGAATTTCAGTCACAAAAAATAACGAGTGACAACTTCCACTTCCATCGAGTGTAAGATGGTCATCTTAACCCACACTGACTATTTACGTCACCCAAACACAACGCTATGTATGCTGCAGAGGGGGAGAAACACCAGGGTTCAAAGATGACATACGCTTATAATGTAAATCTGTATTGAGATGACATCGTCGCTGATTGGTCAAAAGTCGACAAACAAATGACGTCATCAATGGCGGTTTCAAAATTTTCGAAATACGCTTCGAATAATATTATGTTCATTTATGGCGTGTTAACCAATATCATAGCTTCTCATTTGACATCAAGATAAAGAAAGGTGTACAGAATATGCCTATATCAATTAAAACATCCCATCGAAGTGTAGTATTTGATAACTAGCCGATGAAAATTCGAACGAACGAAGGTGGTAAGCAAGAGAGGTAATTATGTCTGTCATCTGTATAGTCTGGGGCTTTCCCTCCTCTTGTATGCTGATTGGTTAGTGAATAAACGTTTTATATCTCATTGGTGGATGTTGAGTGCATGGGAAAATTATATTGAACGTAATATTAAATTTCTAAATATAAAGCTAAAATGGGATATATCAGGGTTTTGAGTACCTTAATTTTCAGATGAAAATGAATATTAACATATCTTCTATTTTACTATACTGTATTTCTATATATTTATATTTCGCACGGTGGAACCCTTAGCCAAGGAGCCAAACTTGCCATTGAATGTTTACAACAGGTCTCAGTTGTTTTTCCCTTGTGATTGTCCCATCAGAGAGGCAATCTACTTACGAGAGAGTAATATCCAGAAGATAAATAAACAAAGTGTCAATAAAGTGTATTGTTATTGTAAATTTAAATACTTTTTTAACCCCTTATACCTGATGGAACTTCATTAATTCACTTCTAATAGATCTTTATTGTTTCACTTACTTGACTTCTGATTGGTTAGAATATTTCAGAACAGACGAGTTTACGGTGACGGTGCTGATGTCTTAACAATGGAAATTGTTCCGGACGTGTTTTTTTCAAACGATTTAGACGTGTTTTGTAAGAACATGGAATACGGCATTCGTTAGAATGGAGCAAAAGGGTAAGAATATTCTACAGTATATATTACTAACTAGCATTACTTGACTTTTACCTAAGATGTTCTTCTTCATACCCACGTATCTATTTTGGCGATCATTCTATCATACTTAATAGTACTCACAATTATATACCAAAATGCCAGAAATCTGTACTAAATTTGACTGTAAATGTAGAAAGTGGAGTTAACGATGGATAATGGATAATTTTGGACACTTCCAAATAGTTTAATAAAAAAATTATTCGGTCAATAGCTACTTATTGAAGCTCTTTTAATATGTGGTTTTCGCACATATTGTGAGTACTTTCCTTATGAATCGATGTATTTATTGAATACAAGGCAGGCTAGTGATTTTAAAACAAAATATGTGTAACACTGCCAGAATCGTTCATTTTCCGATTTAACAAGGCTATAGCATAAGATACGTGCAGATAACGCATTTGCGGATACCTGAAGTTAGGATATATAGTATGGTAAGCAATATAAATTACTTACAAAATTACTTACCAAATTTATCAACCTACCTCTCAAGTTTTCCGAAAAAAACCCATCTAAATCGTTTGAAAAAACATGTCCGGGACAATCTCCACTGTTAACACTTGGTCACCGTGGAGTTCCATTGGATGAGATTAGTATAGTAAAATCCTTACATGGATTATATTGTCCCGGACGTGTTTTTTTCAAACGATTTAGACGTGTTTTTGGAAAACTTGAGAGGTACATGTAGGTTGATAAATTTGGTTATAAAATGCTGCCACTTAACTTTATGTAAATGTAAGTAATTTATATTGCTTACCATAATATATATCCTATCTTCAGGTATCCGCAAACTCGTTATTTGCACGAATCTTATGCTATAGCCTTGTTAAATCTGAAAATGAGCGATTCTGGCAGTGTTACACATATTTTTGCCTGAAAATCACTAGCCTGTCTTGTATTCAATGAATACATCGATTCATTAGGAAAGTACTCACAATATGTGCAAAAACCACAAATTAAAAGAGCTTAAATAAGTAGCAATTGACCGAATGCTTTTTTGGATTTTACTATATATAAGCACAAATGCCAAAAGGGAAGGACGATTAAAAACTTTAAGGAAACCCAACAGGAAAAGCAAACAGTAAGTGTAAATCTGTCATAAGAAAAGTAGACCCTATATATCCCAAAACCATGATCTAACGTGAAAAGAAACAATGTCTAACATCCCCCTCCCCCCTCCAATCGAGAACCAATATCACAATCCAGGACCAGAACACCAAGGGACATTTCATTCATACTGAAGTCATTACAATACATGTTGAAGAAAAATTGAAAAATTGATAGCCAATACTCATAACATCAAAAATAGTTGTAGATACTAGTACTCATAAAATATAGAGCATTCAGTCTCAAAAATGCAAATGATGCGGGATAGATAAAATCCAGTCTCCAAGTCCATAAGCGTTTCAAAGGGTCAACATCCATTCACAAAAGCCGTCGCCATAATTTAGACATGTCCAAAATATCCCTTCTCGATCGTTAACTCCACTTTCTACATTTACAGTCATTTATGGCAATTTTAAGATAAAGATAGTTAAAATATAAACACGATCTTTAGAGTAGTGAATATTATTCCACGTTGTTGAATGGATAGTCTGTTTAAACTTAATCAAATAACACACATATTTCTAGCATTTTTTCTATATAAATACGAGTACTATGAAGTATAATGGAATAATCGCCAAAATAGATACGTGGGTATGAAGAAGAACATCTTAGGTAGAAGTCAAATAATGTTAATTGGTAAAATAGAGAATATTCTTACATTTTTTCTCCATTCTAACGAATGCCGTATTCCATATTCTTACAAAACACGTCTAAATCGTTGGAAAATCACGTCCACGTTGTTTAGAGTTGAGCAACGTGTCATTGCTTCAAATAAACAGAGCAAAATTGAATCAATCAACAATGATGACAACATAAGTGAGACCAAGTTACAAGGAAATACATTTCAATTCAGAGAATAAACTCGCAACCTCGTGGTTACGGCGCCCAATCGCCTAGCTTGAACGTGCCGGCGCTAAAGCCCTCTCTGCCAACACGACAACCCCAAAAAAGGTTGTTTTGTCAGTCGATCTGACTAGAGACAGCTGATGTTAACACTCGAACACACCAGAGATAGGATCGAGATACATCTCACCAAATAAGATGCGATTCAATATCGTGCAATGGATATAGCGAGATCAATATCAATAACTTCGGAATTCAAGTCAAGGTGCGATAATAAATCATCGATAAAAACATGTTATTACTACACATGCTATTTTTAGTTTTTGAAAATAAGAATTGTTTTCATTTGTGGTTGTTAATAGCTGCTTTCATTTTTATCTCATAGGGATAAGCCATATACCCCCTGGGGTGGCTTTATCATTATTATGTAAATATGTTAATATGATTTTCAAAAATAAAGGATTATTTAAGTTTAGAATATTAATGACTCAAATCATTCCTTGTCATGTCTATTTTTCTAAAAATCCCCAAAGTACATACTTTATTCAGGGAAAACTAAAGATTTTTACGAATATATGTTATTTTCTACTTTCATCGTTACAATTTTTATTATTTGTGAGAATTTAAACACTTTTCCCATATTTTGCACCTCGAATTCTTAATAACTTCATCCATTTGTAACATATCACGGATCTTTTGGGAGATATTGTAATAGTGTATATGTACATGCGAATAAGTGTACAGGCTGCTACAATTTTGACCCCTATAGATCTGATACTGTCATGAAATGTCATACACATGTCGTGCGGTCTGTAGTACACGTGCTCATTTATCATACTCGTCTTTTCGTTCAGATTAAAGCGCCATCTAGTTGACGAAAATATAAAACTATAACACGAGCTATTTTTGTTGATCTTATTACTGAATGAGAGTCCTATAACAGATCCTGCCCTACAACGTGTGTCGAGGCTTGACAATTAATCAGCATGAAAAATCGATCTTAGGCATTTGCTTCAGTAGTAAGTGAATTTGCCTTTAATAACATGATTTGAAAATTGAAAATACAGCATGAATGCGAGATAAATCAGCACGAGGGTTATATTTCTATAAAAAGGAAAGATCTACTTTCACTTACGTTCGAAAAGAAGAAATTCTCATGTAACAATTATGACATCAAAATATATGCATCCCTCATATATGAATGATATGAGGGACACCATCATTTATTAATGCGTGGCAATGAAATCTGTTGATTGAAAAATGGGAAAGATCAGACCAGGAGT